CTTGTATACCACAACCCAGCATCAGGTAATACACCTACACATGACTTGTACACCACAACCCAACACCAGGTAATACACATACACATGACTTGTATACCACAACCCATTATCAGGTAATACACCTACACATGACTTGTACACCAAAACCCAGCATCAGGTAGTACACCTACACATGACTTGTATACCACAACCCAGTATTTGGTAATACACCTACACATGACTTGTACACCAAAACACAGCATCAGGTAATACACCTACACATGACTTGTACACCAAAACACAGCATCAGGTAATACACCTACACATGACTTGTATACCACAACCCAGCATTAGGTAATACACCTACACCTGACTTGTATACCACAACACAGCATCAGGTAATACACCTACACATGACTTGTACACCAAAACACAGCATCATGTAATACACCTACACATGACTTGTATACCACAAACCAGCATCAGGTAATACACCTACACCTGACCTGTACACCAAAACCCAGTATTAGGTAATACACCTACACATGACTTGTATACCACAACCTAGCATCAGGTAATACACCTACACATGACTTGTTACCACAACCCAGCATCAGGTAATACATCAACACATGGCTTGCATACCACAACCCAGCATCAGGTAATATATCTACACTTGCCTTGTATACCACAAACCAACATCAGGTAATACAACTACACATGACTTGTATACCACAACCCAGCATCAGGTAATACACCTACACATGACTTGTACACCACAACCCAACACCAGGTAATACACATACACATGACTTGTATACCACAACCCATTATCAGGTAATACACCTACACATGACTTGTACACCAAAACCCAGCATCAGGTAGTACACCTACACATGACTTGTATACCACAACCCAGTATTTGGTAATACACCTACACATGACTTGTACACCAAAACACAGCATCAGGTAATACACCTACACATGACTTGTACACCAAAACACAGCATCAGGTAATACACCTACACATGACTTGTATACCACAACCCAGCATTAGGTAATACACCTACACCTGACTTGTATACCACAACACAGCATCAGGTAATACACCTACACATGACTTGTACACCAAAACACAGCATCATGTAATACACCTACACATGACTTGTATACCACAAACCAGCATCAGGTAATACACCTACACCTGACCTGTACACCAAAACCCAGTATTAGGTAATACACCTACACATGACTTGTATACCACAACCTAGCATCAGGTAATACACCTACACATGACTTGTTACCACAACCCAGCATCAGGTAATACATCAACACATGGCTTGCATACCACAACCCAGCATCAGGTAATATATCTACACTTGCCTTGTATACCACAAACCAACATCAGGTAATACACCTACACATGACTTGTATACCACAACCCAGCATCAGGTAATACACCTACACATGACTTCTACACCACAACCCAACACCAGGTAATACAGCTACACGTGACTTGTATACCACAACCCATTATCAGGTAATACACCTACACATGACTTGTACACCAAAACCCAGCATCAGGTAGTACACCTACACATGACTTGTATACCACAACCCAGCATCAGGTAATACACCTACACCTGACCTGTACACCAAAACCCAGTATTAGGTAATACACCTACACATGACTTGTATACCACAACCCAGCATCAGGTAATACACCTACACATGACTTGTATACCACAACCCAGCATCAGGTAATACACCTACACATGACTTCTATACCACAACCAAGCATCAGGTAATACACCTACACATGACTTGTATTGCACAACCCAGCACCAGGTATACACCTACACATGACTTGTATACCACAACCCAGCATCAGGTAATACACCTACACCTGACCTGTACACCAAAACCCAGTATTAGGTAATACACCTACACATGACTTGTATACCACAACCTAGCATCAGGTAATACACCTACACATGACTTGTTACCACAACCCAGCATCAGGTAATACATCAACACATGGCTTGCATACCACAACCCAGCATCAGGTAATATATCTACACATGCCTTGTATACCACAAACCAACATCAGGTAATACACCTACACATGACTTGTATACCACAACCCAGCATCAGGTAATACACCTACACATGACTTGTATTGCACAACCCAGCACCAGGTATACACCTACACATGACTTGTATACCACAAACCAGCATCAGGTAATACACCTACACCTGACCTGTACACCAAAACCCAGTATTAGGTAATACACCTACACATGACTTGTATACCACAATCTAGCATCAGGTAATACACCTACACATGACTTGTTACCACAACCCAGCATCAGGTAATACATCAACACATGGCTTGCATACCACAACCCAGCATCAGGTAATATATCTACACATGCCTTGTATACCACAAACCAACATCAGGTAATACACCTACACATGACTTGTATACCACAACCCAGCATCAGGTAATACACCTACACATGACTTCTACACCACAACCCAACACCAGGTAATACAGCTACACGTGACTTGTATACCACAACCCATTATCAGGTAATACACCTACACATGACTTGTACACCAAAACCCAGCATCAGGTAGTACACCTACACATGACTTGTATACCACAACCCAGCATCAGGTAATACACCTACACCTGACCTGTACACCAAAACCCAGTATTAGGTAATACACCTACACATGACTTGTATACCACAACCCAGCATCAGGTAATACACCTACACATGACTTGTATACCACAACCCAGCATCAGGTAATACACCTACACATGACTTCTATACCACAACCCAGCATCAGGTAATACACCTACACATGACTTGTATTACACAACCCAGCACCAGGTATACACCTACACATGACTTGTATACCACAACCCAGCATAAGGTAATACACCTACACATGACTTGTACACCACAACCCAACACCAGGTAATACAACTACACATGACTTGTATACCACAACCCAGCATCAGGTAATACATCTACATATGACTTGTATACCACGACCCAGCACAAGGTAATACATCTACACATGACTTGTATACCACAACCCAGCATCAGGTAATACATCTACACATGACTTGTATACCAGAACCCAGCATCAGGTAATGCATCTACACATGACTTGTATACCACGACCCAGCATCAGGTAATACATTTACACATGACTTGTATACCACAACCCAGCATCAGGTAATACATCTACATATGACTTGTATACCACTACCCAGCATCAGGTAATACATCTAAACATGACTTGTATACCACAACCCAGCATCAGGTAATACATCTATACATGACTTGTATACCACAAACCAATATCAGGTAATACAACTACACATGACTTGTATACCACAAACCAGCATCAGGTAATACATCTACACCTGACTTGTATACCACAACCCAGCATCAGGTAATGCATCTCCACATGATTTGTATACCACAACCCAGCATCAGGTAATACATCTACACATGACTTGTATACCACAACCCAGCATCAGGTAATGCATCTCCACATGATTTGTATACCACAACTCAGCATCAGGTAATACATCTACACATGACTTGTATACCACAACCCAGCATCAGGTAATGCATCTCCACATGATTTGTATACCACAACCCAGCATCAGGTAATACATCTACACATGACTTGTATACCACAACCAAGCATCAGGTAATGCATCTCCACATGATTTGTATACCACAACCCAGCATCAGGTAATACACCTACACATGACTTGTATAACACAACCCAGCATCAGGTAATGCATCTACACATGACTTGTATACCACAACCCAGCATCAGGTAATGCATCTCCACATGATTTGTATACCACAACCCAGCATCAGGTAATACACCTACACATGACTTGTATAACACAACCCAGCATCAGGTAATGCATCTACACATGACTTGTATACCACAACCAAGCATCAGGTAATGCATCTCCACATGATTTGTATACCACAACCCAGCATCAGTTAATACACCTACACATGACTTGTATACCACAACCCAGCATCAGGTAATGCATCTACACATGACTTGTATACCACAACCCAGCATCAGGTAATGCATCTCCACATGATTTGTATACCACAACCCAGCATCAGGTAATACATCTACACATGACTTGTATACCACAACCCAGCATCAGGTAATGCATCTCCACATGACTTGTATACCACAACCCAGCATCAGGTAATACATCTACACATGACTTGTATACCACAACCCAGCATCAGGTAATGCATCTCCACATGACTTGTATACCACAACCCAGCATCAGGTAATACACCTACACATGACTTGTATACCACAACCCAGCATTAGGTAATACACCTACATATGACTTGTATACCACAACCCAGCATCAGGTAATGCATCTCCACATGATTTGTATACCACAACCCAGCATCAGGTAATGCATCTACACATGACTTGTATACCACAACCCAGCATCAGGTAATGCATCTCCACATGATTTGTATACCACAACCCAGCATCAGGTAATACATCTACACATGACTTGTATACCACAACCCAGCATCAGGTAATGCATCTCCACATGATTTGTATACCACAACCCAGCATCAGGTAATACATCTACACATGATTTGTATACCACAACCCAGCATCAGGTAATGCATCTCCACATGATTTGTATACCACAACCCAGCATCAGGTAATGCATCTACACATGACTTGTATACCACAACCCAGCATCAGGTAATGCATGTCCACATGACTTGTATACCACAACCCAGCATCAGGTAATACACCTACACATGACTTGTATACCACAACCCAGCATTAGGTAATACACCTACATATGACTTGTATACCACAACCCAGCATCAGGTAATGCATCTCCACATGATTTGTATACCACAAACCAGCATCAGGGAGTACATCTACACCTGACTTGTATACCACAACCCAGCATTTTATTTCTTCAGAAAATTGTCATGTACGACTGGCTCCCGGTGTTTCTGGACGTACAGAAGGATGCTAACGGCACTCTAACAAAGATGAAGATGGATGATTACGACGGTGAGGAGTGCGGGGGAGAGGGGGTAGTGTGAGTGTATATTTGGGGAAAAGGGGTAGCTGAGTTGTTTGTGGGTTGGTGAGCTGTGGGGCTAGTGTCATTTGCGCGTTCAAGTTGTTGACGACATAATTTATATTGGAGGTCCATCTATATCTAATCACTATAAATAAATAATTTGTAGTTTACAAGTTACATGCAGCTGACATTTGTATTTTGGGACCCGTTATTCATGCGCTGGAATTTAAAATAACTTTTTCGGAGAGTTTACCGGACTCGTCCATAAATAGACCCAGATAGATCGCCATATCATGGAAACGACCCGTTCTTTTTGTCTTTGAATGAAATATGTGTAAAACCTGCCTTCTGTGGTAGCTGTCAGTGTATGGTTCTGTCCAGGTTACGACCCTCACGTCCACCCCGGCATTTCCCAGGAGATGCAGACGGCGGCCTTGCGGTACGGACACACCCATGTGGTGGCGGGGGTCAGGACTAGGTGAGCTACAGCTTGAGGTGCTCAGTGAGTGAATTTCACTTTAAACAATACATGCCAGCTTGATGTAAGAGGAAAGCGATGTTTTACCACTCTGGTGAAACATTTCAACATTCTATACAATACTGGCATGCCGCAGGGACGCACCTGCAAATGCCGGGCCCCAGGTGCTCGTCAGTAGAGCTTGAACAACGTGGTGCTGGGTACACGATATGACAAAAATGAAGCATTGTCCATTGTATTTAGAGTGAATGAGTTGGGTTTATCGCCGCTTTTAACAGTATTCCAGTTATATCACGGCGTGTCAGCTTAATTTGGGACGAAAGCCCGATGTGATGCGATCTTAGACCTTCACCACTTCAGTGAAACCCACGGGCACGGGTATGGTGCTGACAAACCGAGAACCATAATCGGGGCGAATCGGGATTCGAACCCACAATCATAGGTTTTTGGCGTGTCCAAGGGACGCAACTCTGCACAGCGAATTGTGGCGCTTTAGACGACTGGGCCACCCGTGCCCCCTAATCGTATTGAGAAGTTTATTATTCATATATTATAATAATTGGTATAAAATAATATGATTTAGAAAAACACGTTTAATAATTAGATATATATTAAAATGAAATCATAGCTTCAAGTTATTTTAGTTCGCAACAGATGTTTTTATTTTATATCTAAATCACGATAAACCATGCAATGAATCGTGTTTCTTGATAATTTCAACTTATCAGTTCTTGATTAAAGTTAGTTTCTTAACATAATGACAGCCCGGCCATTTCGAGTATTGCCCTGAAAGGCGTATGTCTTGGAGAAACTTGAGATTTTGAATAAATTTCGTTTTTTGTTTTTGCCAGGAACGTGGTGGCCCCAGGTCAGTGTGAGGAGAGAATAACGGCCGTGACGACTGCTGACGGACACAAGGCCAAGGGCATCCGATTGTGTCAGGCGTACTGGAGGTCACAGGTCAGGGACCCATGTTGTACCAGTAGGATCTTCCCGAGGCAAGGGAGTTAACTGACTATAAAGTCCAGTTTCCACCCTTGTCCAACTAGGCTGGGATTATGGAGTTACATTTTGGCTGGACTAAGGAGTCTATGCATAGTCAAATCAGAATCGCGAACTAGGCATCCGGTTCGTAAACAACATGGATTTCAACATGCAGATTTCAGTCGACTGCAGGAGTTGCAAAGCATGTTTACCGCCAACTGGGCGTCGACAGATATTCTTTTATGTTTTTAATCAAGTTGCTCACGGTTTTTAAAGCACTTCGCGGGGTTAGACCCGTTTTATTACAATACAGATCTGGCCTATCGAGGAGATCATCTTGACTGGCCGCCGCCGTTATGTTTGAAGTGAGTGAGTTGGGTTTAACGCCGCTTTTAACATTATTCCAGCAATATCACGGCGGGGGACAGCAGAAATGGGCTTCACACATTGTACCCATGTTGGGAATCGACCCCGGGTCTTCGGCGTGACGAGCGAACGCTTTAAACCACTAGTCTACCCGACCGCCCCCGTTTTGTTTGAAGCAAATGCAAGTGATATGAGAGATGGAATCTGACTGGTCAATAGGAGGAACATGGAAGGGACATGACACATAATAGCCACTGGTGGCGCTACGATCGAGCCCAGAAATTCCATCCCAATTCGGCAGGGGTGGAACCTGGACTGTTATAGTCAGTTAACGCCCTTGCCGTGCCTCGGGAAAATGTTGTAGTTGCGGTCCGCCGAGCAGTATGTGAGCCACTTTAGTGTTAGTTTTTGTGTGTGTTTGTTTGTTTGAGCAAATCCTTCGGAATATACAAAATGCGCATGTATTTCCTTGCTGATATACTTACAGACAATGTCATCAATCTTATGCCACGTTACAGTATCCTTTCACATGCATGTCATGATGACCCATCTATATTCTTCCACAACATGAACCCTGCACAGCACTGCGTAATACACTCTAGGTTACTTGCAACCTTACGGAATGTTACATACTTTCAGTGAGTGAGTGAGTTGAACATAAATTGAGTTATGTCACCATTTCACTATTTCAAAAACGATTGCCAGCAGTAGAAATATTTTCTTCAGGAAATTCTAACAGAGGAGAACAGTCTGAACATGGCGGAGATAATGCGGGGCATGGTGTACACGTTAGCAGAGCGGGAAGACCACATCATGGTGCCAGACCTTCGAGGTAGGTGAACATCATACAAAAAAGTACATGCGGAAATAAGCACCCGGGGACCCGAGCGCTGAGGTGGTCTGACCGGGCCGCAGGTAAGTGACCATCAGTATTTTCTTTCATTGCTTTTTTGTTTGTTTGTTGTTTAACGCCGCACTCAGCAATATTTCAGATAGTTGACGGCGGTCTGTAAATAATCGAATCTGGACCAGACAATCCAGTGATTGACATCATGTGCATCGGTCCACGCAATTGGGATACGATGACATGCATCAACCAAGTCAACGAGCCTGACCACCCGATCCCGTCAGTCGCCTCTTACGACATTGAACCCATTATATATATCTATCAGTCAGTAACGACAATTTTCCACACTCTAGGTGATCTATTCGGCCCTCTCGACTTTTCCCGCCGAGACCTGGCCGCCCTCAACATACAGCGAGGCCGGGATCATGGCCTCCCCGGGTACAACAAGGTCCGGGAGGCTTACAACCTCCCTGCAGCCAACACCTGGGAGGAGATCAACAACTGCACAGATTGTAACATAGAGGAACTCCGACCAGTAAGACCGCTGCAAATAGCGACAAATCCATACAAATCCTGTATCCACCGTCATTCACTGTTATAATTTCACTGGAAGACCGCACACCAAAATAATTACCGACCGATAAAATTACCCACCCTAAAGTGTCTTTAAATTTATTTATTGTTTTCAATGTAAATCTGGTTCCACTTCCTGTTTAAGGTGTTTCCTCGACAAATAAATTTAACAAAATAGACACAATGTATGGATAACAACTTCTGTAGTACTGTAAGGGCGACGTTTCGGTATAGATCCCAATAGTGTTGTCAAGCAAAACGTCGCCCTTACAGTAATAAAGAAGTTGTTATCCATACATTGTGTCCACTTCGTCATCCGTCAACTTCTACGTAATGCCCATCAAACAATTAAATAAATTTAAGTACGAGATATTGTCTTTGTGTATTTCTCACAGGGCCCGGTACCCACTCCCCACTGTATATATCACAGTCTGCATGTTACCCAACAGACGTTAGGATTCCCGGAACAAATTAATAACCATTATTTTCCTTCCATAAGGTATTGTTTCATTCATTCAGATCTTTCAAAATCTTGCCGTGCTCTATGAATCCGCCCGGCCGGACGAGTTGGACATATTTACTGGCGGGCTGCTGGAGACAACGTTTGATGGGGCCGGGCCCTTGTTTAAAGCGATCATGCTGGACCAGTTCAAGAGAATCAGGAAAGCAGACAGGTTTTGGTACGAGAATAGAGACAACTGGTGAGTGTTCTTCGTAAAGAATTTCTGTTTGGTTCAAAGTAAATCATCAAGTGATATCACAATCTCTATATCAACGCTGACGTCATGCAACACCATTGTTTACGAAATAAAACGTCATCATTGTTTAATGTCTCATCAGGAAATGAACAAAGGCAGATAACACCCCATCATCCTCAGTCTGCTCCACATCTTCAAAGTAGTCGCAAATTTAATCAGCTCGTCATCAAGCCTCTTCTATTCTTCATTACGTCAAGGCAACCAAGCGCGCGGTTGTTGCGCCGCCATTTCGGAAGAGTGCGCAAGCGCTTCGAACTGTTGCAGACCCCGGGATCAGCGATTAATAAGCTATTCGTGGCGTGCAACGCGCCCCTAGTTGCATCTTCAGCAACCCATGCTTGCCGTAAATGGCGACTATGCTTGACGAGGCGACTAACGGGATCGGGCGACTAACGGGATTAACGTTATCCCAGCACGTGATGTATTATGCGTTATTCATGTATCATGGGCCGGTGGCCTGCTACTGAGTCCATTGTCTAAATGCAGACAATATTTACTTAAATTCTAAAGCATAGATCGTGATGGGAAAGGTTTATGACCTCATGATGGTTTTCTTGTAGCTTATTCACGGATGAAGAATTTAACGAAATACAAAGCACCAGCATGCGTAATATCATAAACATAACAACCGGAATACCGCTCGACGACCTGCCATTGGATTTGTTTATATGTGGTAAGTCCCTATTAGTATATTGTATTTACAGCGTACATGTTATAATGAACATATTGTGTTTTTTTGCAGTTCGTAATGTAGCATGCAATCCCACTTAGAGTAAACGTTATAACGAACACAATGTGTCAATCTGCCGTCCATGCATATAGTATATAATTGAAATAGAGTTACCTTTATAACGAACACAATGTGTCAATCTGCCGTCCATGCATATAGTATATAATTGAAATAGAGTTACCTTTATAACGAACAGAATGTGTCAATCTGCCGTCTATGCATATAGTATATAATTGAAATAGAGTTCCCTTTATAACGAACACAATGTGTCAATCTGCCGTCTATGCATGTAGTCTACGATATCTGCGTTGTATAGTGACACCTCACTGCCAGTCACCATCAGCACCAGAGATGTGCTCCGGTCTTTCCCGGGGTGAACGTCCACACAAACTGTGGCATAACAGAAATGATGCCCAAATCACTCTTGCCTATGGAATCCTGGATGGGACATTGTCGCGTTGTCGCATTGTCGCGCTTTGGTTAATTTTGACACCTTTTGCTTGTTTTTGTAATGGCAACGACGCGACAACGCGACAATGTCCCTTCTAGGATTCCGTACGTAACTGAACATATCCTTCCACAGACAACAACACTGCGTCCGGATGCAACTGTCTCGATCCACCAGGCATGGATGACTTTGGAGATACAGATGGTACTTTTGATGAGTGTTCCAAACTGGAGACATTTGATTATTTCGAGAGCAGCCAAGTGTCCTTTGCTCTCACCTTTGTGGCTGTGGGACTCTGTATACCATGTAAGTAGTGACTGTCACGTTCTACGTCATACTTAAAAACCGGACGCTCGCTCCATGCTGTGTCTTCGAATTAAATAAATAAATTAACAAACAAACAAACAAACAAACAAACAAACATAAATAAATAAATAAATAAATAAATAAATAAATAAATAAATAAATAAATAAATAAATAAATAAATAAATAAAAGTGAAACAGAAGGCTTTCTGTTTGCTGCTCAGGACCGGTCACTTTCCGCTCGAAACCGTCAATGTGTGATTTACCATTTTATTTATTTTAGTCTGTACATAATAATACCTGTCAGGCTTGATGTGTTTTGGTTTCAGTGACGATCGGCGTCCTCGTGCTGATGGCGAAGAGGAAGGAAAGGAGTATGGCCACTGCCAATAGACGAAAACCAGAGACAGGAGAATCTGACCCAAATAAGTTTTCAGGTATTGTCTTTTGTTCAGTTTCTTTACACGAAACATGGAATACATATGTAAGGTTAGATGTTCTTCTAATTCCTTATTAAGACGACATCAGTATTGTGCAAACCAATCAAGTGGATGAACACCTTTGAGGCGTCCAATACCTCTCATGTGGTCAAATAGTCTCCAATATATCTTACACACCGTCAAGCAGTCAGTGCCCCTGCTACCCTGTACACATGCTGGACTGCAGTCCCCTCCCCATCTCTCTTACACAGCCGTGGAGTGGGTGGGGCCCAAGTCGGGGGAGAGGAACATCAAGGTCCATCTGAATCGGGAGCGGAAGAAGGTGGACGTGACGGACCGGACTGGCAAGACCCTCCGGCTCATAGACTTGCGGTACACACAGAAAGCTGTCCACGTCCGACTGTCCGATGACAAGAACCTTGACGTCATGTCCATCCGGGTCCCTGGAGAAATTGATCTGGTGAGGGCCGAGCCGTACTGATATTATATCGATAACCTAACTTACTGTAAGGCGATTTTATTGATCGTTCTGTATTGTTGGACAGTGCCATAGCCATTCGGCCCAGATTCAGTTTTTTAGGAGAAAGGCTATCTGAACGATCACTGCATCGTGTTTATATGCAGTGTGTTGAGAACATCAGCGACCCTGCAGAGCCCTTCGCTTGGATGAAGTCGGCTGGCCTGAAAAGTGAAACAGAAGGCTTACTGTTTGCTGCTCAGGACCAGTTGCTTCCCATACGAGAACGTCAATGTGTGATTTTGCATCAACAACTAAATATGAAATGTAGATTATGTAATGAATTTAATGAGACTCTCAAACACATTGTCAGTGGATGTCAAGCTTTGGCACCAACACAGTATCTTAAGTGACATGATGGAGTGGCTCGATCATTTTATTACCGTTTTCGCCATGCTTGTGGTTTTGACACACAGGTCCATCCATGGAACGACCCAGGTTATGTAGAGGGCGTCATGGAAAAGGATGAATACAAACTTCTTTGGAATAGGCCCTTATACAGCCTCAGACGTATCCAGGCCAACAAACCTGATCATGTCTTTTTTGATAAATCCAATGAAATCATTTATATTATTGATTTTTTGTCTCTTTTGACATAAATGTGATTGACAAGATTGAGGAAAAAAATGGCAAATATGCGGACCTCGCTTTCGAAATGTCACGCTTGCATCCCAAGTACCAAGTTGTCCGACTCCGATTGTTCTCGATGCCTTAGGATTGGTACCTCCCAATCTGTTGACTGACATTGGGCATGTGCCCGGGTTGCTACCAGGAATACAGCCCTTCTGACAATCTAGGTAATGCAGAAGGCTGCAGTGTTGGGGAGTCTTCACATTCTCCGAAAAGTTCTTTGTGGGTTTGACGAGGCAGCGCTTCCTTGGAGAAGTCCCATTCGCTGTCTGGGCTGCGAGTAGAGGGGGCAAGAGCCCTGAGCTGATAATGAGCCTAACCAGCCTGACTGTGCCAGGATCACCAAAGCCCCCTTTGATGCACTTTATACTTTAATCTGTAAATAATAATAATAATATGGCCCTTCAGGTGTTGAGATTCACCAGCATGGGCGAGCGGCAGAAGGTGCTGGGCAACGTCGAGGCCTTCTTTCAAAGCATCAGCATCAACCGCGAGAAACACGAGTTCAGCGAGATCACGATAATGAAGGATGCAGAGACATACGAAGACAGAAAAGTGATGCTGGACAAGTTCTTCAGGGTCGTATGTCTCCAGGTAATACAGCACTTATCAAGTATTTTATCTTAATGTTCTTTGTATATACATGCTAGAAGGCTTACCCATCGCAGACGTTCATGATCTATTCATATAATTTTCACTACTGTTTTACTACATAATATTCTCTAGATTTTTCGTGATATGTTTACATAAAAAAAGTGAAAATAAAACACGCATGTTGTTATTGTTACAATATGTATATGACTAGGACGAGTAAGGATAGTTTGGACAGTAACCATAGATATTGTAGTGATATGTCCTGAAAGGCTGTTTACATTTTGTGTTCTCTGTCTCAGTTTAAGTTACTGATAATTCCCCTTCTACGTCTTTAGTATTTTAAAAATAATCTCGTTTCTTTCCAAGAAGAAACTATTTTAGGAAGTCTTACACTTCTATAAGTTTATTTTCAATTGTCTGTCGCCCGTATTAACATCTTAAGTATTAATCTTTTTATTTTGTTTCTGTTAAATAAGGCCATTATTTTAAAGACGTTATACGCTTTTATTCATAAATGGCTTTCAATATTTTATTGCTCAATTACACCTTATCCTTGCGAATCGTCGTTGCATACTCCTTCATGTCTTGTTACATTTCATGTCCCTGTTGTGTCCGTATTTACATTACGTGTAGTAGGAACCTTTCTTGAATGTAAACCAGATTCCCAACTCGGGTAATAAAGTATTGTTGTCTTATCTTCACTGTCCCCAGGCCTTCAAGAAGAACGCTCGCGACATGAACCTGGAGTCTCTGGACGCCAGGGACATCAACGAGATCCGCAATGTCAAGCTGACGAGGACTGAGTTTGCAGAAGCCCTGGGCCTCCAACCCAACTCCATGTTTGTCAGGAACATGTTCCTCCTCGTGGACCGATCCAGGGACGGCTTTGTGTCTTTCGAGGAATTTATGACAATGTTTGTTACCCTTGCTACAGGTACGATTATATTGCTGTCTCCTTGTTTCAGGAACGATTGTGTTGGTTTTCTACTTGTTTCAGGAACGATTGTGTTGGTTTTCTACTTGTTTCAGGTAGGATTGTGTTGGTTTTCTACTTGTTTCAGGTAGGATTGTGTTGGTTTTCTACTTGTTTCAGGTAGGATTGTGTTGGTTTTCTACTTGTTTCGGGTAGGATTGTGTTGGTTTTCTACTTGTTTCGGGTAGGATTGTGTTGGTTTTCTACTTGTTTCGGGTAGGATTGTGTTGGTTGTTAATCTTTCTTCAGGCATGATTGTGTTGATTCCTATTCTTGCTTGATGTAGATTACTTCAAATATCACTCATGCTTAGTAAGTATTATTGTTTATTGTTACTGATCGACTCATTCGTGGGTGTAACCTTATTGTTTGTTTGTTTGTTGTTTAACGCCGCACTCAGCCTTATTCCAGCTATATGACGGCGGTCTATAAAATAATCGAGTCTGGACCAGACAATATAGTGATTGACATCATGAGCATCGATGCACGCAATTGAGATCTATGACATGCATCAACCAAGTCAGAGAGCCTGACAACCTGATTCCGTTAGTCTCCTCTTACGACAAGCATAGTCGCCTTTTAGGGCAAGCATGGATTGTTCAAGACCTATTCTACCCCGGATCTTCACAGGTCGGGCGTAGCGCTAATGCCCTTCGTTTATACCCCTACATATTCACGATTTAATTTTGTTTCAAAAGTCAAAGTCAAAGTTTCCCAAAGAGTTATCTCCCTTCCCAGGAAATGCCGAGGAGAAAGCCAGCATGTTGTTCAACATGTATGATCTCAAGAAAACCGGGAAGCTGTCAAGAAACCAATTCGCAAAAATGTTGAAGTAAGTGTCTCACAGTGTGGGTACTGTAACATGCGTGAGTAATATAAACAATTGCTATACTACTCAAAATATGTTAAGGATTCTTTCATATTACTATAATTAACAATACCAACATACAGAATCGGATGGTCCTTAACTTCTTTTGAGTAATATAGTTAGTGGGTAAAATATATGAAAATATACAACGTTGACGCCAGAGAGATTCAGTCTCGATTATCTGCCGCCCTACATTCTATTGGACGTCACAGTCAAACAAATGGTGAAAATTATATGAATGGATCACTGACAATCAGTGGTGACATCACGTGTTCGCGAGAAGGGTAAGTTTGTCCTGCTCTACCAGCAGCACCCGCCACTCACACAACTGGCACAAAACGTAAGGTTTGTTGCCTAACGCCGCACAGTAGTGCTTCGACCATACAACGGCGACCTGTAAGCAATCTTGACCAGACAATCCAGTGAAAGTGCGTCAGACTAGTGTGAAGTATACAATGGCACAGGGACGGGTGCGCTGGTGTTGATACCGCCTACAATGTCCCCCATCGTGTTCCAGGTCTATGATGGACCTGGCTGACGCCAGTGTGGACGACATGAAGGTCAACCAGCTGCTGGAGACCATGTTTGAACAGGCCGGCATCAAGGGCAAGGACAACATGACTTTTGAAGATTTCAAAAAGATATTTGCATCAGAAGAACATGGAGAAATCCTCAAGAAGGCAACACTGGGGCTTGACGGTAATAGTTGCTTTCATGTGCTGAAAGAGATTAATGCAGACAGCTTTAACAATGAACTTTGATAGACATGAAATATTGGTGATTGATCATGATTGATTTATTAAAAGTCTATGTGGCGCTCACTGAACAGATAACATAAAAGAGAAGTGATTAGTTAGTTGTCCTTTATTTCACAAGCCAAACGAATTCATTGTAAATTTGGTGGCCGTCGCGTCTTTCTTATATGTTTATATAACGTTTCCACCTTTCCCAATACCTATAGAAAATCAAGTCATGCTTGCAAACACGTTCTCGTAGGTGATCTTATGCATCGTGTTGTAGTGGACGGAGGGAAGATTGACCAGCAGGTGGCCAAGGTACATGGAAGCAGCATCGCAGACAGGAGGAAAACTGTCGTTGGAAACTTCAGGTAGACAACTCAAGTGACTGCCCATGACGGCACGTGTTTGTGGATAGGTGAAGCTCGCTATTAGGTAGGCGGGGTCGCCCAGTGCCCAAAGTCGTTGCAGCTCGCTGTGCAGAGTGATGCCCCCTAGTTACCAGGATCCGCTTGTCTCACTTTGATTATCCTAGCTGTTTGTCCCTTGATTGTTAAACACTTCAACAGGGTTTCGCCTCAGCCGTAAATGCCTTTGCCCTGCTTTACTGTGGGAGATGTCCAAGGTTGGGGGCTGGCGTGGCGTGGTATAACTGATTTATTGTCGAAAGTGACGTCAAACTCCATTACTCCAATATAAGTATCCGCTGTAACGAGTTTCAGCAAAGCATATGCATAACGAATTAGTTCTCGTCCTTCAGCAATGGCTATCCACAGTTTCTGAGCAATTAGAAAACAGATGAATATGTTCTTTGCACAGTCGACACTATCATTAGTAACCTAATACTAGTATCGTTGTTCATGTTGCGTGTTGATGACGTTGTTCGCAGAGCTCATTCCATTAACCGTAAAGCCAAGAACCGCCAAACCAACATCCGGGTCGCCACCCTAAAGACGCAGCCTCCCATGACACCCTTCGCACAGAAGCTGTACGTGTTCACGCGCTACGTTGAAAACTACAGACTGCAGATATTCTGGGTGACGCTCTTCACGCTCATCAACATCGGAATCTTCATAGAGCGAGCCCACTGTGAGTCGTTCTCAGGCAAACGCTACTTCCGGTTTGAAATATTGTATTTAGATATACGCATATGTGTTAAAATGTTAATAACTTATATCAATTGTAGTTTAACATATACGGCGTTTTTATTGACGTGAATCACTTACACCGTCCTGTATATGAGACACCCACAGTGGGACTTGTCTTGACCCTGAAATAATACCTCAGGAGTGTTAGAATAGGTCTTCAGCAACCCATACCTTAAGAGGCGACTAACGGGCTCGCTGACTTCGTTGGGGCATGTCATCGCACCCAAATTGCTTGGATCGATGCTCATGGTGTCAATCACTGGATTGTTTTGTCCAGAATGGATTATTTACAGACTGCCATCACGTAGCTGGAATATTACTGAGTGCGGCGCTAAACAACACATAAACAAAACACAAAACATAACGCTGCCTGTGTGTACCTGCAGTCTACTCCATCGAGCGGGAGCATGCAGGCTTGAGGCGGCTGGCGGGGTACGGGGTGTCCGTGACGCGGGGGGCAGCGTCCACCCAGATGTTCACCTACGCCTTCCTGCTGGTCACGATGAGCCGCAACACCCTCACCTTCTTCAGGGAGACGTTCCTTCATCGCTTCATCCCATTCGACTCCTTCCACGCCTTTCACAAATACGTCGCCGGCATCGCCCTCGTGTCCACTGGTGCGTGTCTTGCTATCTCAATCAATGTTGTCCCCTCTCAGGCCTCACCGTAAGCCATAATCTATGACATCGAGACATACGCAAGACAGACAGTATGTCTGTAACACTTATTTAATAATAGCCATTTCAAATCTTCCATTTCAAGATGCCATATAATGCAAGTCACTGTGTTGTATCCTTGGACAAGGTTATTGACTCCCCGTATCCCGCTTTGATAAGAGTGAAACCATTGTTGAATTGCCCATTAAGCATCAATTACCCTAAGTTGGACAAAAATGCAACATAAACATGCCTGTACTGTCAAAAGACATGAATTATATATCAACATCATTACAAGTTATGCCATGAATGAGAACACAAAAGAAGGTATTGTGTCCACAGATTGGAGGATGGGGTCAGTTGTTCAGTATTCGATCAATCATCAAGGCTGACATCAGTACATGAAACTCATTTTAGTCCCACAGAATGTCACAATTGTCAGTCGGTATTGTGTATGCCCACCACGGGAATCAATGCACGCCGAAAATCGACCATGGGAAGATGTGATACGTTTGATCACAAGAAATGGGATTCAACACCACTCTTCTCAGAGGGCCTTGTTATCAGGGCGACCTTGTCGTGCTCTAACTCGGAGGTCTAGGTAATCCCACAAGAACTCTACTGGTTTAAGTCTGGTGATTGTGCTGGCCAAGGCGAGATGTTGTATGGGGTCTTGTGTTATCTTGTTGAAACAAAGTCTGTGTTGTTCTGTTGTAAGAGCGATAGGTAACCATTTGTTTATTAATGACAATGACTGTAACAAATCGTTAAATGTCGGCTTCAAACTGACCAGTGGTCAACATGTCTTGTGTTTTTGCTGCAGTCATGCACGTGGTCGGTCACGCAATCAACCTTTACCACATCTCGACGCAGGCTTCCAGTGACTTGAACTGCTACTTCCGGGAGTACTTCAGAGCGTGAGTAAACACTGCTAGAAATGAAATGGCTTGAATAAACAGTCGTGTTTGTGTAAACAGCCCCATGTCTCCTGAATAAAAACTGAGTGAAACGTCCAGGGCCCTGTTCCACAAAGCGATCTTAGTGCTACGTTGATCGTAAGCCTATGCTGAAGTATGGGAGTTACGACCAACTCCAGAATTCCAGAATGAGAAGTCCTCAGTAACAGGTTGGTCAAACAGGCAGTAGCCACCAAACAGCATGTGCGTGTAGATGTCTTATGTTGCTCATCCGAAAACCATGTTACTTGTGTCTAGATGCCTTACGTTGCCCATCTGGAAACCATGTTACTTGCATGTAATTGCCTTACGTTGTCATCCTGGAATCCATGTTACTTGCATTTAGTTGCCATAGGTTGCCCACCTGGAATCCATGTTACTTGCGTGTAGTTGCCTTATGTTGTCCAACCGGAATCTATGTTACATGCATGTAGATGCCTAAGGTTGCCACCTGGAAACCATGTTACTTGTGTGTAGATGCCTTACATTGCCCACCCGGAAACCTTTTATTTGTGTGTAGTTGCCTTACGTTGCCCACCTGGAAACCATGTTACTTGTGTGTAGATGCCCTACGTTGCCCACCTGGAAACCATGTTACTTGCATGTAGATGCCCTACGTTGCCCACCTGAAATCCATGTTACTTGCGTGTAGTTGCCCTACGTTGCCCATCCGGAATCCATGTTACTTGCATGTAGATGCCTTACGTTGCCCACCTGGAATCCATGTAACTTGCGTGTAGATGCCTTACGTTGCCCACCTGGAATCCATGTAACTTGCGTGTAGATGCCTTACGTTGCCCACCTGGAATCCATGTAACTTGCGTGTAGATGCCTTACGTTGCCCACCTGGAATCCATGTAACTTGTGTGTAGATGCCTTACGTTGCCCACCTGGAATCCATGTAACTTGCGTGTAGATGCCTTACGTTGCCCATCCAGAAACCATGTTACTTGCGTGTAGTTGCCTTACGTTGCCCACCTGGAATCCATGTTACTTGCGTGTATTTGCCTTACGTTGCCCATCCGGAATCCATGTTACTTGCGTGTATTTGCCTTACGTTGCCCATCCGGAATCCATGTTACTTGTGTGTAGGTGCCTTACGTTGCCCATCCAGAAACCATGTTATTTGTGTGTAGTTGCCTTACGTTGCCCATCCAGAAACCATGTTACTTGTGTGTAGTTGCCTTACGTTGCCCACCTGGAAACCTTGGGGACATTATTGTTAATATCATCAAACAATTCAAAACCATCAACTGAAACGTTGATTGATGTCGGTGTAACACTGTACAGTCGCTGACCACTTAGTCAAGGTACTTGGTGAAGTCCTGTTTGGGAATGATATCTTTATATAGTTGTGTATTTTGTGTTACAGAACCCATATACTGGCGTCCTTCCACTACTGGGCCTTCTCAACAATTACTGGTGAGCATGTTCTCCTCTTCGAGTGGTAAAGAATTGTATTGGGGACAATTTTAAACACTAATGCTTTGAAAGGCCTACACAAACATAGTTCAAATATCCTTAAAACCTTCTTTTAGTCTCAAGCTCTTGTAACCTAATGCATCGATGTATATATACACATATAGTATCCGGGACCATGGTCCTGCTTGCGATTATATGTAACGTTTCCCTGAAACTTTTGTATCTTGATGTACAGACCTTCCCACGAAGGTTTTATGTATCTGTTCTGCTGCCACTCAGGTTTGACTGGAGTAATTCTTACGATAATCGTCATCATCATGTTCGTGTTCGCCACGGAGTACGCCAGACGCCACGTCTTCAACGCCTTCTGGTTCACACACAGCTTCTACATCCTCCTCTACATCTTCCTTACCATGCACGGGGCCGGGAGGCTGGTACAGGACCCAATCTGGGGCTGGTTCTTCATCGGGCCCGTCGTCATCTTCATCATTGACAAGCTTGTCAGTCTCAGTAGAAACAGAGTGGAGATACCCGTCACCAAGGCCGAGATACTGCCATCAGGTAAACTGGCTCAGATGAATATACATTGTCAATGATATAGAATATCGCCAAAAAGGACCAGTTGGCTTAAAAGGCAAAACAGGTGAATGTTTGATGAATGTTTGATGAATGGACAACTGAAAACCAGTGCTTACACCAGGTGTTCGCGAAGAGGGTCATGACGTCATTGCGCCAAGTTCTCCTGAAACGTCACCTCTTGATCAAAGATCTCGTGAACTGCGTCCATGTTAATCCTGGCGTCATGAACCATTCTCACATGAGCTCTATCTCATCCACACAAGATCTCAGTTCTCTCGAGAACTCATTACAGGTCACGTCAGAACGCCCTTTCGCTCGTCTCGCCGAAGACCCGGGTTCGATTCCCGACATGGGTACAATGTGTGAAGCCCATTTCTGGTGTCCCCTGCCGTGATATTGCTTGAATATTGCTAAAAGCGGCGTAAAACTCACTCACTCACTCACTTTTCCGTTTCAAATGTTTATCCAATTCCGCTTTGGAAAGATAGAAAGCTCATGGATGTCCCATGACATAAATAAGTTTGTTGTTTCGTTTTCTAGGTGTGACCAATCTAGTTTTTAAACGTCCCCTGAACTTTGACTACAAATCTGGGCAGTGGGTCCGTATCGCGTGTCTGGATCTTGGAAAGAGCGAGTACCATCCATTCACTCTGACGTCAGCTCCTCACGAGGAGACGCTGTCATTGCACATCCGGGCAGTTGGACCATGGACAACCAACATCAGGAGGGTATACGACCCGAACAACTCATCCACCGTCCCCAAGGTAAACCAGTCTTAAATCACAACAGGAAACTTTGTTAAAAATAATATTTGCATACTTACAGAAGTATTTCAGAGAAATGATTGATCGACTGGTAGGAATGAGCTGCTATATTCATTGATTGTTAATTGTGTAGCAATTAAAGTTAATTAGTGTTTTTTTAATGTCTGTTTACGAGAATGTTGGAAACAATATTACATGACCGGCCCGTTTAGGTGTGACTGGTATCTAGTTCTAGATAAAGGTTGGCGGACTTTGGGCTAGCTGACACTGCACATTATTGTTGTATCTTCTTTCAGCTATTGGTGGACGGTCCTTTCGGCGAGGGCCACCAGGACTGGTACCGCTTCCCTGTTGCGGTTTTGGTGGGAGGGGGTATTGGGGTTACGCCCTTCGCTTCCATCTTGAAAGACCTTGTCAGCAAGAGCAGAATGAAGGTCAAATTCCCATGCCAGAAGGTCAGTGTGACATTCTTCACTATCGCTACTGGCTCATGCCAAACCTGCCATTACCACTAAACGTTAATATCCATCAATACTTCATTGTCATTTCTTTCGGTTTTCTTGTGTAATAATTTACTGGATTGTTGAGCTATTCAGTATCTATGTTAAAGTAATTATATATACTAATCACATTTATGTTGATGCATTTTCAAGGTGTACTTCTTGTGGGTGACGAGAACGCAGAAGAGTTTTGAGTGGATGACAGACATCATTCGGCAGGTAGAGGGCGCTGACACTAACGACCTGGTTGCAGTCCACATCTTCATCACGCAGTTCCAGCAAAAGTTCGATCTCAGGACCACCATGTTGGTATGTCAGACACTGATTCCGTCTGTAGTGAGTGAATACCGCCTCACCATGTTGCTATGTCAGACACTGATTCCGTCTGTGGTGCGTGAATACCGCCTCACCATGTTGGTATGTCAGACACTGATAACGTCTGTAGTGAGTGAATACCGCCTCACCATGTCGGTATGTCAGACACTGATTCGTTTGTAGTGAGTGAATACCGTCTCACCATGTTGCTATGTAACACTGATTACGTCTGTATTGAGTGAATACCGTCTCACCATGTTGGTATGTAACACTGAATCCGTCTGTATTGAGTGAATACCGCCTCACCATGTTGCTATGTCAGACACTGATAACGTCTGTAGTGAGTGAATACCGCCTCACCATGTCGGTATGTCAGACACTGATTCGTTTGTAGTGAGTGAATACCGTCTCACCATGTTGCTATGTCAGACACTGAATCCGTCTGTATTGAGTGAATACCGCTTCACCATATTGCTATGTCAGACACTGATAACGTCTGTAGTGAGTGAATACCGCCTCACCATGTCGGTATGTCAGGCACTGATTCGTTTGTAGTGAGTGAATACCGTCTCACCATGTTGCTATGTCAGACACTGATAACGTCTGTAGTGAGTGAATACCGCCTCACCATGTCGGTATGTCAGACACTGATTCGTTTGTAGTGAGTGAATACCGTCTCACCATGTTGCTATGTAACACTGAATCCGTCTGTATTGAGTGAATACCGTCTCACCATGTTGGTATGTAACACTGAATCCGTCTGTATTGAGTGAATACCGCCTCACCATGTTGCTATGTCAGACACTGATAACGTCTGTAGTGAGTGAATACCGCCTCACCATGTCGGTATGTCAGACACTGATTCGTTTGTAGTGAGTGAATACCGTCTCACCATGTTGCTATGTAACACTGAATCCGTCTGTATTGAGTGAATACCGTCTCACCATGTTGGTATGTAACACTGAATCCGTCTGTATTGAGTGAATACCGCCTCACCATGTTGCTATGTCAGACACTGATTACGTCTCTAGTGAGTGAATACCGCCTCACCATGTTGGTATGTAACACTGAATCCGTCTGTATTGAGTGAATACCGCCTCACCATGTTGCTATGTCAGACACTGATTACGTCTCTAGTGAGTGAATACCGCCTCACCATGTTGTTATGTAACACTGAATCCGTCTGTATTGAGTAAATACCGCCTCACCATGTTGGTATGTAACACTGATTCCGTCTGTAGTGAGTGAATACCGCCTCACCATGTTGGTATGTCAGACACTGATTACGTCTGTACCGCCTCACCATAAATAATAAGTTTTGTAAAAATATATGTCCGTTATGAAAAAAGTGTATCTAAGCACATTCCCGTCTTTCCGCCCCCAGACTATTGAATGGTCAGTCCCTAGACATAAAAGACAACGACGACATCAGCGTTGTTTATGCACGGTTACCGACACAATACGCTCTTGTGTTTGCAGTACATCTGTGAGCGTCACTTCCAGAGGATCGCTGGCCAGAGTCTGTTCACAGGGCTCAGAGCAACAACTCACTTCGGCAGACCCAAGTTTGAGGACTTCCTCGCGTCTCTGGCTCACGAACATGAAACAGTAAGTGTGGTTACGGAGTAGATGCAGTAGTCGTAGTAGTTGTAGGAGACGTAGTTGTGGTAGTAACAGTAGTAGTAGCAGTAGTTGTAGAAGCTATAGTCGTTGTAGTGGTAGTAGTGATAGGAATAGTAGTAGTGGGTGAGTTAGTGAGTTGGCTTTCACGCCGCTTTTAACAGTATTCCAGTTTTATCACGGCGTGTCAGCTTAATATGGGAGGAAAGCCCGAAGTGATGCAGGTCTCAGACATTTATCACTTCGGTGAAACCCACGATCACGGGTATGGTGTTGACAAACCTAGAAACACAATCGGGGCAAACCGGGATTCGAACCCACAATCAAAAGCCACAAGGGACTTAAATCTGCAGAGCGAATCGCAGCGCCTTAGACGACTGAGCCACCTGTGCCCACAATTGTAGTGGTGGTAGTAGTAGTAGTAGTAGTAGTAGTAGTAGTAGTAGTTGAAGCTGTAGTAGTTGTTGTCGAAGCTATGGTAGTCGAAGTGATATAGTAATAGTAATAAGGAGTAGTAGAAGTTTGTTTGTTTGTCATTTAACGCCGCACTCAGCAATAGTCCAGCTATATGACGAAGGCCTGTAAAAAACGAGTCTGGACAGGACAATCCAGTGATTGACACAATGGGCATCGGTCCACTCAATTTGAATACGATGACATGCATCACCCAAGTCAGCGAGCCTGACCATCCGATCCCGTTAGTCGCCTTTTACCACAAGCATAGTCGCCTTTTACGTCAAGCATTGGTTGCTAAAGACCTATTCTACGCCGGATCTTCATGAATCGAGTAGTAGTAGTAGTAGTAGTAGTAGAAGTAGTAGTAGTAGTAGTAGTAGCAGTAGTAGTAGTAATAGTAATAGTAGTAGTAGAAATAAATGAAGCTGTAGTAGTTGTAGTGGTAGTAGTAGTGTTGTTGTTGGTGGTGGTAGTAGTAGTAGTAGTAGTAATAGTAGTAGTGGTGGTAGCATTGGCAGTAGCAGTTGTAGTAGTAGTATGGGTAGTAGTTCTACCTGTTTCGCTCACCAAAAATACATGTGACATTATCTCCCTTGTTGCCACGTTACAGGCTCAGAGCATCGGCGTGTTCAGCTGTGGACCCCCGCCGATGACGTTGAACGTGGAGTCCGCGTGCAGCAGCCTCAACAAGCTAGACGGGCCAACCTACACTCACCATTACGAAAACTTCTAAACAGCCAACATAGGATAATGTGTTTGTTCTCGGTCAAACCTGGGAAGTGTTTTCACAACTATGCAACAACAAAATACCATGTCATCACAACGTGCTCTACTTATATATAATGTGTAAAAAATCAGGGATTTGTAATGCTATAAATCCTCTAAATGCTATAAAGTAGTATTTGTGTATTGATAACAGTCCGACAAAACATGACGCGTACCTCCACTGTACCGTCTGTTGTTGTTGATGTTGTTGTTGTTGTTGTTGTAACATGAATTGCTCAAGTCGCGATTAACGTTGATAATACGGCTGATAATGAAGGTTGGACGTGACCATCTTCCATCAAAGTTAAATGTTTGTTGTTGATTTCTTTTATGTTTAGTTACAGTACTATTTGCAACCCTTGTCATCGTCTTCCATGTAATCACGGGAAGCTCGCTATGTCCTGCTGCTTCTGGTAACACCGTACTTCCGGCGTAGCCAGGCCTGGAATCACTGACACACAATGTATCCATTGTCAGTGGTCCCTGTCATGGCTTAAATCTTACCCGGATGACCTCACTCACTCACTCACTCACTCAGTGTAAGTTACTGTAGCCGTCAGTTTTACGAGTGTCACATCTGCACCATCGATTCCAACACATAAGTCTGAGATGTACATTACTCTCCGCGTGCTCCTTGCATGCAAGGCTTCTATCCACGTGCGTCAATTACCAATGTTCCTGCCGCCGGAGTCTTACCCGACTGTCGCCTGAGTCTTACCCGACTGTCCCCGGAGTCTTACCCGACTGTCGCCTGAGTCTTACCCGACTGTCCCCGGAGTCTTACCCGACTGTCGCCTGAGTCTTACCCGACTGTCCCCGGAGTCTTACCCGACTGTCGCCTGAGTCTTACCCGACTGTCCCCGGAGTCTTACCCGACTGTCGCCGGAGTCTTACCAGACTGTCCCCGGAGTCTTACCCGACTGTCGCCGGAGTATTACCAGACCGGTAGTACTGGTAAAACTGGTAAACTGACAACTGTTTACCTATTTGACATAGAGTTAGTTCAAATGTCTCAATAGCCAGGGATACGACTAAATGTGTTATGACAGCACCTCATGTACAAATATACCAACCTTTCTTCCAAACTAGTCCCAGACTCGATCTAATTGGCAGCCCGCTTGTTTCACTACCCTGTATCTTCTAATTCAATACATGCACCGTGTAATGATTATGCTCATAAAAAGACAACAGGCCCCTTTCAAAACAGAAATGTGTTCCGATCACATATATTCCATTTGATAGACCGCGTTGAAAGCGCAGTTAGCATACATGGCGCTTGTTTATGGTATTATAGATAAAATGCAACTGGAATTTCAAGAATGCTGACGTGTACATATTTAACGTGACGTAGTGTCCCGACCACGTTGTGTGGTAATAAATTGTGTTTATGTGGATGTCCATGTGTAGCCACGTGCACAGCTACGACCGTCATGCAGGGCACGTGTAGTTTAACCGCGTATAGAACGAGGCCAGATCGATACCTTTTGCAGCGAAAATTGTAATAACACTTTACTCCGAAACAATTTCAGCTCGAGGGGAGTTCGTAACACATTGCCGTTCCTTGTGAGTAACTCACTGAGATGTTATCCCTCTGGATGAGCCAACGAACGACTTGAAAACACTTCATTTTAAAGAGGGGGCACGGGTGGCCCAGTCGTCTAAGGCGCCGCGATTCGCTATGCAGAGTTGCGGCCCTTGGGCACGCCAGAAACCTATGATTGTGGGTTCGAATCCCGGTTCCCCCCAATTATGTTTCTAGGTTTGTCAGCACCATACCCGTGCTCGTGGGTTTCACCGAAGTGGTAAACGTCTGAGACCTGCATCACTTCGGGCTTTCCTCCCACTTTAAGCTGACACGCCGTGATATGACTTGAATACTGTTAGAAGCGGCGTTAAACCCAACTCACTCACCCATTCATTTTAAAGAAATCCAGATATCCTATTACACCTCTGTACTGTCGCACATGTATTCCTTCTACTCCTGTATGCGTCCACTGTAGCCAAATATGATTTGCTTCTCTTGATTCTAATAACGTTACTTTTCAGGTATTGCTTTTCTGCGTCAGTTATCTGTTTAAGACAATGAATACAACAAGAGAATAACAGTTATTTTCCTAAACGATACTTTTGTCTTTATTGAAATAAATCGTTTTTAGATTTTAATGTACGTGTTACTTGTGTATCAGCTTTAGATTTCGGCACACTGACAGTAAGATGGATAGTTGCTTACACCTGTGACCCGCATAACCCCATATAGAGAGCCATAGAGATAGTTACCCCATCAACTAAAGACAGATAGTGATAGAGACCCCATTCACTAAACTCAGATAGTGATAGAGACCCCATTCACTAAACTCAGATAGTGATAGTGACCCCATTCACCAAACTCAGATAGTGATAGTGACCCCATTCACTAAAGTCAGATAGTGATACTTACCCCATCCACTCAAGACAGATAGTGATAGAGACCCCATTCACTAAACTCAGATAGTGATAGTGACCCCATTCACTAAACTCAGATAGTGATACTTACCCCGTCCACTAAAGACAGATAGTAATAGTGACCCCATCCACTAAAGACAGATAGTGATAGTGACCCCATCCACTAAAGTCAGATAGTGATAGTGACCCCATCCACTAAACTCAGATAGTGACTGTGATCCCATCCACTAAAGACAGATAGTGATAGTGACGCCATTCACTAAACTCAGATAGTGATAGTGACCCCATTCACCAAACTCAGATAGTGATAGTGACCCCATTCACTAAACTCAGATAGTGATACTTACCCCATGCACTAAAGTCAGATAGTGACTGTGATCCCATCCACTAAAGACAGATAGTGATAGTGACCCCATCCACTAAAGACAGATAGTGATAGTGACCCCATGCACTAAAGTCAGATAGTGATAGTGACCCCATCCACTAAACTCAGATAGTGACTGTGATCCCATCCACTAAAGACAGATAGTGATAGTGACGCCATTCACTAAACTCAGATAGTGATAGTGACCCCATTCACCAAACTCAGATAGTGATAGTGACCCCATCCTCAAAACTAAGACAGTGATAGTGACCCCATCCATTAAAGACATATAGCGATTGTGACCCCATCCACTAAACTCAGATAGTGACTGTGATCCCATCCATTAAAGACAGATAGTGATGGTGACCCCATCCACTAAAGACAGAAACTGATAGTGACCCCATCCACTAAAGGCAGATAGTGACAGTGACTCGATCCACTCAACTCAGATAGTGATAGTTACCCAATACACTAAAGACTCTAACGTCAGATAGTTGTAGTTAACTCATCCACTAAAGGCACTAACGCCGGATAGTGATAGTGACCCCATCCACTAAGGCAGATAGTGATATTGACCCCATCCACTAAAGGCAGATAGTGACAGTGACTCGATCCACAAAACTTAGATAGAGATGGTGACCCCATCCATTAAAAACAGATAGTGATAGTGACCCCATCCACTAAACTCACATAATGACTGTGACCCCATCCACTAAAGACAGATAGTGATAGTGACCCCATCCACTAAAGACAGATAGTGATGGTGACCCCATCTACTAAAGACGGAACCTGATAGTGCCCCAATCCACTAAAGACAGAAACTGATAGTGACCCTATCCACAAAACTCAGATAGTGATAGTTACCCCATCCATTAAAGACAGATAGTGGTAGTGACCCCATCCACTAAACTCACATAATGACTGTGACCCCATCCACTAAAGACAGATAGTGATAGTGACCCCATCCACTAAAGACAGATAGTGATGGTGACCCCATCTACTAAAGACAGATAGTGATGGTGACCCCATCTACTAAAGACGGAACCTGATAGTGCCCCAATCCACTAAAGACAGAAACTGATAGTGACCCTATCCACAAAACTCAGATAGTGATAGTTACCCCATCCATTAAAGACAGATAGTGGTAGTGACCCCATCCACTAAACTCACATAGTGACTGTGACCCCATCCATTAAAGACAGATAGTGGTAGTGACCCCATCCACTAAACTCACATAGTGACTGTGACCCCATCCATTAAAGACAGATAGTGATAGTGACCCCGTCCACTAAACTCACATAGTGACTGTGACCCCATCCACTAAAGACAGATAGTGATAGTGACCCCATCCACTAAAGACAGATAGTGATAGTGACCCCATCCACTAAAGACGGAACCTGATAGTGCCCCCATCCACTAAAGACAGATAGTGGTAGTGACCCCATCCACTAAACTCACATAGTGACTGTGACCCCATCCATTAAAGACAGATAGTGGTAGTGACCCCATCCACTAAACTCACATAGTGACTGTGACCCCATCCATTAAAGACAGATAGTGGTAGTGACCCCATCCACTAAACTCACATAGTGACTGTGACCCCATCCATTAAAGACAGATAGTGATAGTGACCCCGTCCACTAAACTCACATAGTGACTGTGACCCCATCCACTAAAGACAGATAGTGATAGTGACCCCATCCACTAAAGACAGATAGTGATAGTGACCCCATCCACTAAAGGCAGATAGTGGCAGTGACTCGATCCACTAAACTCAGATAGTGATAGTTACCCAATACACTAAAGACTCTAACGTCAGATAGTTGTAGTTAACCCATCCACTAAAGGCACTAACGTCAGAAAGAGAAAGTTACCCATACACTAAAGTCACCAACGTCAGAAAGTATTAGTTACCCCATACAAAAAAGACACTTACTTCAGATAGTTACCCTATCCACTAACGTCAGATAGTATTAGTTACCCCAAACACTAAAGACAATAACATAAGAGTGAAAGTTACCCCATCCAATAAAGTCAAAAACGTTAGATAGTATTAGTTACCCCCTACACTAAAGACACTTACTTCAGATAGTTACCCCATCCACTAAAGGCACTAACGTCAGAAAGTGATAGTGATTGTTACCGCATACACTAAAGACACTAACGTCAGAAAGTGTAAGTTACCCCATATACTAAAGACACTAACGTCAGATAGTATTAGTTACTACATCCACTTAAGGCACTAACGTCAGATAGTGATAGTTACCGCATACACTAAAGACACTAACGTCAGATAGTATAAGTTACCCCATACACTAAAGACACTATCGTCAGATAGTATTAGTTATCCCATACACTAAAGACACTATCGTCAGAAAGTAAAAGCTACCCCATACACTTAAGACACTAACGTCAGATATTGATAGTTACCACATACACTAAAGACACCGACGTCAGATAGTGATAGTTACCCCATCCACTAAAGACACAAAGTCAGATATTGATAGTTACCCTATACACTAAAGAAACTAACGTCAGATAGTATTAGTTACCCCATACACTAAAGACATTTACGTAAGATTGTGATATTTACCCCATCTACTAAATACACTAACGTCAGATAGTAATAGTTACCCCATACACTAAAGACATTTACGTAAGATAGTGATATTTACCCCATCTACTAAATACACTAACGTCAGATAGTGATAGTTACCCCATGCACTGAAGACAAAACGTCAGTATTAGTTACCCCATCCGTTAAAGACACAAAGTCAGATAGTGATACTGACCCAATGCACTAAATTCAGATAGTGATTGTTACCCAAACCACTAATGAGAAAAAGTCAGATAGTGATAGTTCTCCAATACACTAAATGCGCTAAAGACAGACGTTTTCCCAGCATTTGCTTGATTTTTTTGTTTTTTTGTTTACTGTCTAGCGTCGCACTTTGTTTTGTTTACTGTCTAACGTCGCACTTTGTTTTGTTTACTGACTAACGTCGCACTCAGCAATATTTCAGCTATATGGCGGCTGTCTATAAATAATCGACTCTGGACCAAACAGTCAAGTGATTGATATCATGAGCATCGATCCACGTAACTGGAAAACGATGACATGCATGAATCATATCAGCAAGCCTTACCAGCCGACCCCGTTAGTCGCCTCTTACAACAAGCATACTCGCCTCTCACGACAAGCATGGTCGCCTCTTACGACGAGCATAGTCGCCTCTTACGACAAGCATAGTCGCCTCTTACGACAAGCATAATCGCCTCTTACGACAAGCATGGGTTGCTGAAGCCCTAGTCGACTCAGGATCTTCCCGGGTCCTTATGCTTGAAATTAGGATCCAATCAAAAGCTCATTAAGGACCAAGAAAGATCTGCCTCCGGGTCGTATGAGCGATATATTTAATGGGATTTGAAAAAACTTTTGACATGTTAATTGCATACAAGCTGGTAAAGATTCTGTCCCCAGTACTTGGACGTGTTTAAGCTACCTAGCCAGGCCTACCAACAATAAACTGACAGACCGCAACAGTAAACTGACATATGCCTACGATACAAGGAAACGGCAACGTAAAACAATGAGAACGTAACCAAAAGCTAAGAAACAGTATCATAGATCTGAGAACACGGTGCCGAAAACATGGAAACGGTAGGACGAAAACTCACAGACCACAGTCTTGTAAACTGGGCATGCGCAGAATAAGAAGGAAGTGGACAGTCATGATCATGAGGATCAACAAACAGTTTTTTCGTTACGTTCGCATGCATTGTTTTGTGTCGCCGATTTCATGTGTATTGTAGACTTATGCCAGTGTTTTGTCAGTTTGTTATTTTATTGCAAGGTTAGATTAACATCCAGTCTCTGAAATGAACTTTTTTACAGAAATGACAGTTGTTAAATTATAGTTATAAAATATAATAAAAAGGAGCCCAGAGACTTTCTCCTGAGACTGCAGTAATCCAGATTTGCCAAACATTGTAGACTTGCATGGACTGTATTGGATATATTTGTTTCAGGGTCTGTATGACAGACTATTGGAAGGTCTGCTGGCGACCGCAGTCCGTGTGGTGTTCCAGACGGCGATCCCGGCTCTTAAACCGGTTAGAAACCAGCAAGAACCTGTGTAGTACAGAGCGACCCTGTCTTAGGTATTCCTCAAATAACCCACTACTCACTCGTCAACCTGTACAGTTGTATTTCAAATTACATGGCGAATATACCCAATTAGTTTACCATAGATTTTGGTTACAACATGTAAATTTCATGTGATGTATGTTTCTGTATCACTCTTGAGCTTGTATGAGAAATCTGAACCTCTCATTGCCGATGGTCCATTGTCTTTATAATGATCGCGGATGAGGGGGTCGGAGAGCATCTCCGGGTAAAGAGTTCATCAGGCTGCTTTTCTAAGGAAGGAGTTCGTGCGGGTGTCAAGCAGTTCCTAATGGCACATACTGCTTGAAGCTTGACGTGCTTGACGTGCTTGATTTATGTTTCCCTGACGAGACAGTACATGATACCTGAAATGATCCCCTCCTTCAGGCTGTTCTCCGTGTTCCCCGGAGTGGGGACGTGCTCAAACCGCCACGTCACTTCCCCCCCTGGGTCGGTGAGTTCGGACATACCGTTCATGCCACCCCAGCCCCGTACTGGTCCTTCAATGACCAATGTGAGGGTGTACCTCTCTCCCGGAGTCAGGGGGACGGGCGTTGTCATGGCAACTTCTAGCTGCTCGTCTCCAGCCTTCAGGTCTACGTCAAAGTGGTGGATGCCCACCCTTGCGTTCTGAGCGTCACGGACCACCAGTGTCACGTAGTACTTCACCGTGTCACCAAGGACGGCATTGTGAGGGTCAAGGAAGGACTTGAAGTAAGATAAGGCGCTGGTGATGATATTTGCTGGAGCGTACAACATCACGCCCATGAAGATGACAGGCTTGTCACAGAAGATGTACAGAGCATCTTTGACCTTACTCAATGGATGCCCAAACCCGCCCTGAACCAGACGCTGTACTCGGTATATGACTTGTGCAGTGTCGCGGGGCTTCGCGATGAATGGTTCAATGTTGGACTTCGGCGAGATATAGCGTTCTAATATCTTGACCTTTTCGCTGTCGGTAAGAATACCATCTGCAACCAACTCTACGAACACAGACTGGGCCATGAGGGGAAACCTGACTTTATACAACGCAGCGCCGAGAACTTCTCTCATCTCGCCGGCACTGTGATTCTTCCCCTGTCTCTTGCATTCTGCCTTGGCCCATCCCACAACGGCTTTGAAAATAACATCCTCTTCGGCCTTGAGGTCGTCCATGGCGAGCAGCTTGTCCAGGTTGTGATGGGAGAGGTCGACGAAGTTGTCCGACGTTAGCACGAAGATGGCGTCTCTCTTCATCACATTGAAAGCCTTCTCCTGCAGCTGCTTCATGTCAAACAGACACGCTTGTTCCAGCAAGGTACAGGCGTTGTCGGCGCTGATGGAGCATTGGCAGTATTCAAGGACTTCTTGTTCCAATGACTTAATACAGTACTTCTTGGAGCAGTAGAGTAGGTTTAGGGCATTGTCCGCCGACAAGGAGATGACCCCAGTGTACAGATACCTGCAGTGAACGAAAACAAACACATGTATTTTAGGCGAGCGTCTAACATCTGAACCTGCCGTCCAGAGACACACAAGTACATTCGGCTTAAGTCTCACATCTTACCATAACAGCCTATACAGTATATACCACAACACCCTTCCTTATACGGTATGTATGTAGAGTCCTATATAGTATATATCACAATGCCCTATATGGTATATATCAGAACGCCCTATACGGTATATATCACAATCCCCTATACGGTATATATCACAAAACCCTATATGGTATATATCACAACGCCCAGTATGGTATATATCACAACGCCCTAAACTGTATATATCACAATCCCCTATACGATGTATATCAGAATGCCCGATACAGTATATATCACAATGCCCGATACAGTATATATCACAATGCCCTGTACAGTATATATCACAATGCCCTATACAGCATATATCACAATGCCCTCTACGGTATATATCACAAAACCCTATACGGTATATATCACAATGCCCAGTATGGTATATATCACAACGCCCTAAACTGTATATATCACAATGTCCAATATGGTGTATATGACAATGCCCGATACAGTATATATCACAACACCCTCATAAGGTAAACATAGCAATGACCTATACGGTATATGTCACAACGCCCTATGCGGTGTATATCAAAACACCCTATAGAGGATATATCACGTACGGTATATATAACAATGCCCTATATGGTGTATATCACAATGCCCTATACACTATTTATCAACACCCTATACAGTATATATCGCAATGCCCTATACGGTATATATCACAATGCCCTATACGGTGTATATCACAATGCCCTATACGGTGTATATCACGATGCCCTATGCGGTAAAAATCAGAAAGTCCTATATGGTGCATAACACAATGCCTGACACGGTATATGTCACACAAACCTACACAGTATATATCACAATGCCGTATACAGTATATATCACAATGCCGTATACAGTATATATCACAATGCCGTATACAGTATATATCACAATGCCGTATACGGTATATATAACAATGCCGTATACGGTATATATCACAATGCCCTATACAGTATATATCAGAAAGTCCTATATGGTGTATATCACAATGCCCTATACAGTATATGTCACAACGACATGCACAGTATATATCACAATGCCTTATACATTGTATATCACAATGCCCTATACAGTATATATCACAACGCCCCATACAGTTTATATTGCATTGCCCTATACGGTGTATATAACAATGCCCTATACGGTGTATATCACAATGCCCTATACGGTATATATCATATTGTCCTAAATGGCATCTATCACAATGCCCTTTACAATATAAATCACAACTGACAACACAGTATATATAACAACGACCTATATACGGTATATATCAACGCCCTAAACGGTATGTATCACAATGCACTGTACTGTATATGTCACATTGCCCTATACAGTACATATCACAATGCCCTATACGGTGTACATCACATTGCCCTATGTGGTATATATAACAATGCCCTATACGGTGTATATTACAATGCCCCAAACGGTATATATCAACGCCCTAAACGGTATATATCGCAATGACATATACAGTATATATCACAATGCCCTATACGGTGTACATCATATTGCCCTATGCGGTATATATAACAATGCCCTATACGGTGTATATACCAATGCCCAAAACGGTATATATCAACGCCCTAAACGGTAAATATCGCAATGACATATACAGTATATATCACATTGCCCTATACAGTATATATCACAATGCCCTATACGGTATATATCAATGCCCTAAACAGTATATATCACAATGCCCTATACGGTGTATGTCACAATGCCCTATGCAGCATACATCAGAAAGCCCTATACGGAATATATCAGAAAGTCCTATACACTCTTTAAAATAGAAACGCACAGGTAGATTTGTAGTAGATGTATTGTACCTATTAAAGTCGATATATTCAATTTTATATCATAGATACAAAGGCAAGGAAGTCGTTGTACAAAGGCATTGAAAAAGTTTCATTGTCATGTCACATGAGGCCACAAAGTTGCACTGAACTCAGTATCTCGAGTGACCGCCCTGGGCAGCAGTCACGACTCTGCATCTCCTAGTCACTGACTGGATAAGTGTACGAATTCTGTCCTGCTGAATTCTGCGCCATTCTGCTTGTAACGCGTTGGCCAGTTGTGGGAGTGTCTGCGGCATGTTCTGACGTTGACTTACAGGTCGATCGAGTTCATCGCAGAGATGTTCGATTGGTTTGAGATCTGGAGATTTCGATGGCCTGGGCAAGCCGTTGATGTTGGCATTATGAAGGTAGTCTACAGTGACACGAGCTGTGTGCAGTGGAACGTTGTAATGTTGAAACAGCTCCCTCTTGCGGTCAACGATTGGAAGATTGGTTTACCTGAACCACAACCAAGTCAGATCTCGTGGTGTAGGATATGGTCCCACACCATGACACTACCGCTACCGAAATTGTTGAATTCACGAACACAATGTGGGGGACAAAACGCTCATTTCGACGACGATAAACACGTTGTCTTCCATCTAGCCGATGATGAAGAAATCGTGATTCGACGCTAAACCACACTCGTATCCAGTTTCTCAAATTCCAAGGCTGTAAGGTATGGCACCAATGCAAGCGTCGCTGTCGATGGATTTGTTGCAAAACAGGGACGATAACTGGTCTTCTGGGTCGGATTTCAGCCTCGCGAAGATGGTTCCTGACAGTCTAGTTCTCAAACCTGGGATGCGTCCTGCAGTCTCCGTAGCTGTGGCATTGCGATGACGGAGGTGGAACAGTCGAATGTAGCGATCCTGCGCAGGGGTAGTAACTCTTGGTCGGCCGGTTCTCGAACGGTCGTCAGTGGAATTGAACTGTGTGCATCGGTCACAAAGGCGGTAAATGGTGCTGTGGTGGACGTTAAAGTGGCGTGCAACAGAAGATTGCGATTCCCCTTTTTTGGATACGTCCTATGGCGATGTTCCGATCGGCAGCGCTGAGTCTCGGCATTTTCTAACTTGAAAAATGTTATTAATTGAACGACAAATTATTGGCTTATGCTTGCCTTTTTATAGCCACTACCACGGGTTACGAATGCCATAACTCGCACGTGCATTTTGCTGTACTGTTTTCCTCCGTGACATTTTTGAACAAGTGTGAAAACAATGCCGCTTAAGACATTGCAAATCGACAATGGCTGCGCTTTGACGAACCGTTTGTCGAATATGAGGCCACCAACATTTTCCATATTTATATCCAATTTATATTTTTTGTGAAGTCAGGTTCAATAAGTTACATTCTACCTGTGCGTTTCTATTTTGAAGAGAGTCTGGTGTATGTAACAATGCCCTATACTGTATATATCACAACACCCTTTACAGTCTATATCACACTTCCCATACGGTGTTATATAACAATGCCCTATACTGTATATATCACACCACCCTTTACAGTCTATACCACACTTCCCATACGGTGTTATATAACAATGCCCTATACCGTTTAAATCACAATGCCCTATACGGTATATATGACAATGTCCTATACAGTATATAGCACACTGCCCTATACCGTGTATATCGCAATGCCCTATACAGTATATAGCACACTGCCCTATACCGTGTAAATCACAATGCACTATACGGTATATATCATATTATCCTATATGGCATATATTCAAATGCCCTATACTGTATATATCACAACACCCTTTACAGTCTATATCACACTGCCCATACGGTGTTATATAATAATGCCCTATAACGTGTAAATCACAATGCCCTATACTGTATATATCACAACACCCTTTACAGTCTATATCACACTTCCCATACGGTGTTATATAACAATGCCCTATACTGTATATATCACAACACCCTTTACAGTCTATATCACACTGCCGATACGGTGTTATATAACAATGACCGATAGAGTATATATCACAACACCCTTTACAGTCTATATCACACTGCCCATACGGTGTTATATAACAATGCCCTATACTGTATATATCACAACACCCTTTACAGTCTATATCACACTGCCCATACGGTGTTATATAATAATGCCCTATAACGTGTAAATCACAATGCCCTATACTGTATATATCACAACACCCTTTACAGTCTATATCACACTGCCCATACGGTGTTATATAACAATGCCCTATACTGTATATATCACAACACCCTTTACAGTCTATATCACACTGCCCATACGGTGTTATATAATAATGCCCTATAACGTGTAAATCACAATGCCCTATACTGTATATATCATATTATCCTATATGGCATATATCACAATGCCCTATACAGTGTATATGACAATGCCCTATACAGTATATAGCACACTGCCCTATACCGTGTATATCACAATGCCCTATACGGTATATAGCACACTGCCCTATACCGTGTATATCACAATGCCCTATACAGTGTATTTGACAATGCCCTATACAGTATATAGCACACTGCCCTATACCGTGTATATCACAATGCCCTATACAGTGTATATGACAATGCCCTATACAGTATATAGCACACTGCCCCATACCGTGTATATCACAATGCCCTATACAGCGTATATGACAATGCCCTATACAGTATATAGCACACTGCCCTATACCGTGTATATCACATTGCCCTATACAGTATATAGCACACTGCCCTGTACCGTGTTTATCACAATGCCCTATACACTACATATCACAACGCCCCATTTAGTTTATATCACATTGCCCTATACGGTATATATAACAATGCCTAATACGGTGTATATCACAATGCCCTATACGGTATATATAATATTATCCTATATGGCATATATTCAAATGCCGTATACAGTGTATATGACAATGCCCTATACGGAGTATATCACATTGCCCTATACAGTATATAGCACACTGCCCTATACCGTGTATAACACAACGCCCTTTACAGTATCTAGCACAATGACCTTTACCGTGTATATCACAACGCCCTATACAGTATCTAGCACAATACCCTAAACAGTGTATATCACAACGCCCTATACAGTATCTAGCACAATGCCCTATACCGTGTAAATCACAATGCACTATACGGTATATATCATATTATCCTATATGGCATATATTCAAATGCCCTATACAGTATATAGCACACTGCCCTATACCGTGTATATCACACTGCCCATACGGTGTTTTATCACAATGCCCTATACTGTATATATCACAACACCCTTTACAGTCTATATCACACTTCCCATACGGTGTTATATAACAATGCCCTATACTGTATATATCACAACACCCTTTACAGTCTATATCACACTGCCGATACGGTGTTATATAACAATGCCCTATACTGTATATATCACAACACCCTTTACAGTCTATATCACACTGCCCATACGGTGTTATATAACAATGCCCTATACTGTATATATCACAACACCCTTTACAGTCTATATCACACTGCCCATACGGTGTTATATAATAATGCCCTATAACGTGTAAATCACAATGCCCTATACTGTATATATAACAACACCCTTTACAGTCTATATCACACTGCCCATACGGTGTTATATAACAATGCCCTATACTGTATATATCACAACACCCTTTACAGTCTATATCACACTACCGATACGGTGTTATATAACAATGACCGATAGAGTATATATCACAACACCCTTTACAGTCTATATCACACTGCCCATACGGTGTTATATAACAATGCCCTATACTGTATATATCAAAACACCCTTTACAGTCTATATCACACTTCCCAAACGTTGTTATATAACAATGCCCTATACTGTATATATCACAACACCCTTTACAGTCTATATCACACTGCCCATACGGTGTTATATAATAATGCCCTATAACGTGTAAATCACAATGCCCTATACTGTATATATCATATTATCCTATATGGCATATATCACAATGCCCTATACAGTGTATATGACAATGCCCTATACAGTATATAGCACACTGCCCTATACCGTGTATATCACAATGCCCTATACGGTATATAGCACACTGCCCTATACCGTGTATATCACAATGCCCTATACAGTGTATATGACAATGCCCTATACAGTATATAGCACACTGCCCTATACCGTGTATATCACAATGCCCTATACAGTGTTTATGACAATGCCCTATACAGTATATAGCACACTGCCCCATACCGTGTATATCACAATGCCCTATACAGCGTATATGACAATGCCCTATACAGTATATAGCACACTGCCCTATACCGTGTATATCACATTGCCCTATACAGTATATAGCACACTGCCCTGTACCGTGTTTATCACAATGCCCTATACACTACATATCACAACGCCCCATTTAGTTTATATCACATTGCCCTATACGGTATATATAACAATGCCTAATACGGTGTATATCACAATGCCCTATACGGTATATATAATATAATCATATATGGCATATATCACTATGCCGTATACAGTGTATATGACAATGCCCTATACGGAGTATATCACATTGCCCTATACAGTATATAGCACACTACCCTATACCGTGTATATCACAACGCCCTTTACAGTATCTAGCACAATGACCTATACCGTGTATATCACAACGCCCTATACAGTATCTAGCACAATACCCTAAACAGTGTATATCACAACGCCCTATACAGTATCTAGCACAATGCCCTTTACGGTATATGTCACAACTACCTATACCGTATAAACTGACGGCCAAAAGAAACGTTACCAACGATATTACTAGGATAAAATATGACCAACACAATTTGAAGCAGCAATAACAATTGTATTGTAGAAATTCATCATTCAGAAAAGTAAAATACGAATTTACTAATTCAACAACAAAGTCCTTGACCTCCAACAGGGACATTTCTTGACAAGGGGTCATTCGTCCAGTATTCGATCAACAACATTTGTTACAACTTTAAGGTGACGACGGCCCAGACCGTTCAATACGGGATATGACCGCCATGAGCGGCAATGCATCTTCGAATGCGGCGTCGAACTGAGTAGACAAGCGTCCTCACATCCACTGCAGGTATCCGATTCCATTCCTCACGGAGGGCAAAAATCAACGCTTGTCTCGTGAAGAGAGGATATTGACGTTTCCGAAGACGACGCCCCAGCTGGTCCCAGAGATGTTCTATGGGTGACAGATCTGGTGATCGAGCTGGCCACGGCAGGACAGTCACGTTGTTGGCGTTGAGGAAGTCTCTAGTAATACGGGCTTTATGGGGTGTGGCGTTATTTTGTTGGAACACCGTCCGTTGTTGACGCTGGATGAAAGGAAGAACCACTGGCCGTAAGATATTGTCAATGTAGCGTTGTGCTGTCAGATTGCCTTCGATGATGACAAGTGCCGTCTTCTCGTCCCCGCAAATGCCGCCCCAGACCATCACACTTCCGCCCCCGTAAGGTTCCACCTCCTGAACACAACAAGGAGCCGTACGTTCACCACGTCGTCGATAAACTCGCGTCCGCCCATCAGGTTTGAAGAGTTTGAACCTGCTCTCGTCACTAAACAGCAGTCGCCGCCATTCCCTTTGTTGCCATCGCTGAGTTTGCCTGCACCACGTCAATCTGGCACGTCGATGTTGACGGGTCAAGGTCATGCCCTTGAAAGGGCGATAAGCCCGGAGACCATAATGTCGTAGTCGTCTGGTCGCTGTTTGTCTGCTGACCGGATGTCCTAAGCTGTTGGCAGCTGATGACGTCACAGTAAAAAATCTGTTCCTCAGATGAAGTACCCGTAAAAAGCGGTCTCACTGCGGTTCTGCCAGTCTGTCGGAGACGTGCGACCAGTCTGGTAATGGTCATCTTGGAGCAGTTCATGTTAATAGCAACCGCTCTCTGTGTCGCTTCCATCTGCAGCATACCTATGGCTCTCTCCCTCTGGGCAGCGGTCAGTCTTGGCATGTTCGTTGCTGTTAATCATCGCAACCAATGAAAGGGGACAGATCCGTGCGTAATTTATACCCGGAAATTGCACGATAATTGGGAAAAGAATGTTTTAAAAAAATGCTGAAAAACACCAATATCTCCCAAAATCCACAAAGCACGTGCAAAGATCGACAGAGAACATGAAGGCTGTATTCGTGAAATGTGTTCTTTACTGTTTTTGAACAGGTTGGCATCTTTGTTTCAAAGTGGCAAATCAGTTAATGTTGGTAACGTTTCTTCTGGCCCTCAGTTTATATCCCAATGCCCTATATGGTATATGTCAGAACTACCTTTTCAGTATATATCACACTGCCCTATATGGTACACATCACAATGCCCTATATATCAGAACTACCTTAACAGTATATATCCCAATGACCTCTACAATATATATATATATCAATAACCCGTACGGGTATCAAAACGCCCTATAAAGGATATATCATACACGGTATATATCATAATGCCCCATACGGTATATACCACAATGCCCTATACATCACAACACCCCTGTAGGGTATATATATGAAGGTCCTATACGGTGTATATCACAATGCCATATACGGTGTATATCACAACTACCTACCTATACAGTATATATCACAATGACTTATGCGGTGTATAGCAAAGCACCCCATAGAGGATATATTACATACGGTATATATCACAATGCCCTATACGGTGTATATCACAATGCCCTGTACGGTGTATATCACAATGCCCTGAACAGTGTATATCACAATGCCCATACGGTGTATATCACAATGCCCTGTACAGTGTATATCACAATGCCCTGTACAGTGTATATCACAATGCCCATACGGTGTATATCACAATGCCCTGTACAGTGTATATCACAATGCCCTGTACAGTGTATATCACAATGCCCTGTGCCGTGTATAGCATCGTCCTGGCTGTTGTGAATTCACTTCCTCGAGGCTGCCCAGATCCTGCGATCTTGGGATCAAATCGTTGGGAAGGGGGTATTGTTTCTAAAATAAACAAGTAGTTCCAGTAAATACTGTAACAACATTTGACTCATGATTTACAAGAAAAGTGTATGTATTAACATATAGGGGACGCCGACAAGCCTCCTAGATTCCCTGATTATATGGTCGGTCTCTGGACGTCATGCCAGTCCGAATCGTGTTGCTGAGGGCAGCATTCTTCAATATACTCTAAATTGTGAAAAACAGACTCAGAGCGGTGTCTCGGGACAATACTACCTTAGAAACTGTCTGAAGACATTGGGCTGTATATCTGTAATCTTCACCTCCTTCGTCTCTGCGATACGACCACAAAACATCGCAAAAAATACGCAACTGCGGCTTGCGAGCATGAATCTATGAGCCAGGATTGTCTCCCCTTCCTCCCCCACCAGGAAGGTGACGTCAGACAGAGTTTCGCCGTCCAGCATCATCAAGTTGGTCTGAATGAAGTCCTTCCCCGACTGCCAGTCATCAACAAAGCCGATGTTATCCTCATCGGCCTCGCTGTCGGTCAGCGACAACGTCGGCGGTGACTCCTCTGCCATGGTCGCTGTTGACGGAGAAACAATAGCATGACTGTTTGGTGAGAACCATGGCCATGGTTATACATATTCCGAGTTAATAATGAAACACAAGTCAGTATGATAGGCAGAGAGGTGGATGAACTTCTAGCCATGGGGCAATTAGTAGCAATTATTAGGTAAAACAGGTCAGATACGCTTTGTTATAGTTGACTGAAAGTAACAACTAGTTATATATGATAAATATATGGTTAAACCTAAAATAAAATTAAAACAAATATACACAAAAATTACATCGGCCACACAAATAAACATTTTGCCGATTAGAACTGTAGACGTTCGCTATGTGAACATTATAAGATAGTTTTGTCAAGAACATGACGAAATACATTCGAGGGGTCCGTTCCACAAATCGATCGTAGCGCAAACCGGATCGTACGTAACTCCCAAACTGTAACATTGACTTACGTCTGCCGAAGCGCTACGATCGCCTTGTTGAACGGGGCCCAGCTCACATATTATTATTATTATTATTATTATTATTTATGGTTTTTTTACAGATTAAAATAAAAAATGCAGCAAAGAGGGTTTGGGTGATCCTGGCACAGTCAGGCTGGTTAGGCTCATCATCAGCTCAGGGCCCTTGCCCCCTCCTACACGCAGCCTAGACAGCGAATGGGACTTCACCAAGGAAGCGCTGCCTCGTCAAACCCACACAGATCTTTTCGGAGAATGTGAAGACTCCCCAACACTGCAGCCTTCTGCATTACCCAGATTGTCAGAAGGGCTGTATTCCTGGTAGCAAAACCGGGTACTCTCCAAATGTCAGTCAACAGATTGGGAGGTACCAAGCCTAAGGCACTTGAATGTAATTCCTTTGCACTGTAACTTATTCTGCACTATCATTATTCAAATATCACAGTGTAATAAAATGCATGTTGGAGAAAGCCTCGTAAGTGTGTCAGTTGTGCCTAATCCATTTGATTTTCCGCAATAAAATATGTTTAAATCAAAAGGGATTATCTGTCACATATATTCAGCGTCAAATCTGCTGCACGTCCGTCATCTCACTCTGAGAAAGATGAGGACATATGGGATTTCCTCTCCGTGTATTCAGAGGACAATTTACCATATTGCGATATTGTGATTCAAGGAACGTTCTGTGAATTTATGTGTGAAGATTTTCACCTTAAAACTTTGTTTTAAAGGCAAAGATATTATATGTAGTATATACTATCAGTTAACAACGAAGCCGGAAGCGCTCACTCGTGTCTTGAGCCGCTTGTGTCGTGATTGATACACAATGGACGGACACAAGAATCCACAGAACACAAGGAAGCGATGACCAAAACAAAGATATCTACTTGGAAGTGAAGCGAAAGTTTGGAAATAAGGATAAACAGTCTTTTGATGAAGGGCTTATCACTATATATGAAAAGAATTTGGATCAAACCAATCACCTAAGTTCAGCTAGCTTCCTCGTCAGACGCAGAAGTAATAATGGTGGACCACTAGTGAGTGAGTGAGTTGGGTTTAACACTGTGTTTTAACAGTATTCCAGTCATATCACGGCGTGTCAGCTTGAATTGGGAGGAAAGCCCGAAGTGATGCAGGTGATAGACGTTCACCACTTCGGTGAAACCCACGAGCACGGGTATGGTGCTGACAAACCGAGAAACATAATCGGGGCGAACCGGGATTCGAACCCACAATCATAGGTTTCTGGCGGAAGGACCACTAAGTATTGTGAAAAAATATGCTCAAGATACAGCATATCTGTTTGATTGTATTGAAGGTGGAATACACGGTTATTTATTTCAGGCAAAAGTACTTAGCCGGGCCAGCAGTCAACTGAACAGTCCTATGTTACTGATGACGCCACACCAAGTGACGAGGAAAAGACCACGGCAAGTATGTCTACAACGAGGACAGAAAAAGCAATATGTCCCAGATGCTGATGATGAATTACAGAAACGAAAAGCAATTCTGAAATCTAAATTTGACAATGAGATTAAGAAGAAAAATGTTGTGATTGAAGCAAAGATGAAGATGGTAATTGAACTCTATCAACGCCTTGAGGAGACAATCTGCACCACAGAGGGGAACCTGCACAAAGGGGAAAACATGCACCACAAGGTGAAACCTGCACCACATGGAAAATACCTGCACCACAAGGGAAAACATGCACCACAAGGGGAAAACATGCACCACAAGGGGAAAGCATGCACCACAAGGTGAAACCTGCACCCCATGGAAAATACCTGCACAAGGGAAAGCATGCACCACAAGGGGAAAACATGCACCACATGGAGAAAACATGCACCACAAGGGGAAAGCATGCACCACAAGGTGAAACCTGCACCACATGGAAAATACCTGCACAAGGGAAAGCATGCACCACAAGGGGAAAACATGCACCACATGGAGAAAACATGCACCACAAGGGGAAAGCATGCACCACAAGGTGAAACCTGCACCACATGGAAAATACCTGCACAAGGGAAAGCATGCACCACAAGGGGAAAACATGCACCACATGGAGAAAACATGCACCACAAGGGGAAAGCATGCACCACAAGGTGAAACCTGCACCACATGGAAAATACCTGCACAAGGGAAAGCATGCACCACAAGGGGAAAACATGCACCACATGGAGAAAGCATGCACCACATGGAGAAGACATGCACCACAAGGGGAAAGCATGCACCACAAGGAGAAAACGTGCACCACAAGGGGAAAACATGCACCACAAGGGGAAAGCATGCACCACAAGGGGAAAGCATGCACCACAAGGGGAAAGCATGCACCACAAGGGGAAAGCATGCACCACAAGGGGAAACCTGCACCAGAGAGGGAAAGCAGAAGCTCCAAAGGAAAGCACCACATATGCCAATGCTGTCTAAACACATTCCCGGCAGCTGCACTTTTGAAAGTTTCGGAATTTCGGGAAACACCTCTTCAGACCTAGTCCTGGGACCGGATCTGGAACTATTTTATCACTGAAAGGGATATTAGTTCGCCCATTGAAACAAAAGACACTCGCCCACCATATGCTGGAATTAGCGTTGACCTTTCGACCACTGAACATTTATGGAATTTGTACATCGGAAATACATATGGGTTTGAGTTTGGATCCTCTGTATTGAAATAGAAAAAGCAACCTCCCAGAAGTAATGTTCCAGATCCGGCAGTACTCAAAACATTCAGAGACACACAGATCAATATCAGGGAGAAGGTACACGAAATGCGCTCATTAGCAAAAAGCTGTAAGACATTAGAAGGTGAAGTGCATGTGCGATTGAGGATTGTCTCTTCAAACGTAAATACAGATTAACCATTTGAAGATGTGAAAAGCAGTATATTTGAATACAAGCACAAGTCTGGAATACGTGCTACCTACGTGAGATGTATAACAACACGGTACACGTCGTACAACAGACATACAGGACCGGTAGACAGGAATCTTGAGGACTGTGACGTCATGATGAAGGAAGGGTACATCTGGCCTGAAGACGTCACCTGCCGAGACTACATACCTCCACAATTCAACAATGAATGATACTGTGGCAACAATCGCCATCCCTCAACTAACAGTTACATCTCAACGTTCTGATCTGTATGCCTAACCCTGTGCTCAAGGCGATACTGTTATCCTTGTTAACCTCCACGCTGACATATCAAAGTTTATAGTATATCTAGAATTGTCAGCACACGATGTTTAGTGAATACAATAGAAGAGTATACATTTCGACAATATCAGTAAATCGCTAATAGATTATATCCTCATATCATCTCAATATAAAGTAGTACTAAAATGTGTCATTGGTTGAAACCTCTCTTAATCAACTGCTATCTGGTACAGACAATGACCATGTGGGTATCACAGAGGACGATATTGAGACACTGAACACCATGATCGTGGATTGTATGTTAGATGCAGTCACACAGTGTACTCCTGACGGTCAGACTCCTGTCTGGTACAGACAATGACCATGTGGGTATCACAGAGGCCGATATTGAGACACTGAACACCATGATCGTGGATCGTATGTTAGATGCAGTCACACAGTGTACTCCTGACGGTCGGTGAAATGCTCACCGGAAGCCGTATTGGAAGCAGGGCGGTTTACATGATCCTCAGTGTGATCTGCGTGAGGCAAGGTGTAGCTGGGGGATGAGGAGAACCCCGAAGAGGGAACGCGGTACAAGGAGTGAATAAATGAATATGGTTTTACGTCGCCTTTAGCAATATTCCAGCAATATAACAGCGGGGGACATCATAAATGGGCCTCGCACATTGTACCCATGTCGGGAATCGAACCCGGGTCTTCAGCGTGACGAGCAAACACTTTAATCACTAGGTTATCCCACAATTGACGAACAGGCATGTTATAATATTTTGATTGAATTTTCATACTATTTTGATTAGACTGAAAAAAGTCTTGGTCATTGGGTTTGCCTAATACTGTGTTTTGGGTGAAATGATACGTGCTTGGTGTTTGTACATAGATAACGTGTTCATAAATATAATGTGAATAACTATATAAGTATAACTATAATAAAAATGTAATTATGTAACTTCATTGTAACTCTTCGGTTCTTGAGACCACAAAGACATTCATTCATTCATTCATTCATTCATTCATTCATTTACTCATTCATTCAAAACAGACACTCGAAATGAGTAGAAAATCCAGATTAGCCGTTGTATATATCTTCATTTTCAAGATGTACTATTAATGAACAATATCGGGAGAAATATTACTGAGGAACCGAACTCCTAATGATACATTCATAATCATCACCATCATCTTATCATCATCATCATCATCATCATCATCATCATCATCACCAGACCACAGGTCCACAAGTATGTCAATGTCGATAACATCACACATTGATCAGAACGACATATTTCTGATCTCTGTGTCTATGGAACAAGACATGTTTTCCGAAGTCATGATCACCAATCAGATGCATTAAGTGGCTATAATCTCTGTTGTGTTTTGTATTGAATTAATGCAGTCATATATTCAGTTAACTAAATGCATGGAATATAATATAAATGTAGGTTATGTCTAGTTCTTTAAATCTTAAAGTAAACTCAACAACCATAATGTATCGCTTAATATATTCTATCACTTCAATTAATGAATGAAATATGTGTAAGCGTTGTTTTACTTCTAGAATGTTTTAGAAGCTATTCTATCTAGTTTTTTGTAATGTACAGATCCATATGTGATACATGTGAATCATTGTATTAAGAATGTATGTATTACTGTATTCAATACATTAAATGTTTAATTGTGTTTTATTTATTACGGGCGAGTGTTGAGTATCTGAGCGTATCCGTGTACACTGTTAGGGTTTTCTCTGGTCTGTCATTGTTTTACTTTACTTTGTTAAAAATTCCGCCCTTGGCGTGACGTGACGACACCTTCGATGTCGGCCTAACATAGTGGCAACACCTTAGTCATACTGAGGACAGGTGATTTTGCAAACAACGTGTTACCAGTAGAAGCTTTAACATTAAAAAAAAGTTCAGCATAGAAATGAACTCTTCTTTCAATACATATGAACATTAAACTACATAGATATCCACATAACAATGATGTGTATTTAGGCGTCACCTGATATTGAACGGTCTACTGCGCATGTCCTTTGTAGGCAGGGCAGAAGTGAACCGTGTTCCAACACGAGTGATGTTCTATTTATAGCAGGTTGCACTGCAGGTCGGAGTGTCCCAACATTCGCCGTTGCCACCCCAACCTTTCACTACTTCAAAGTATGTGCTACACAGATCCATACCCTACCATGTGTTACATAACTCCATACAGAAAAGAAATTTTGAATTTAAGATAGTAATACATGGTCTATATGAAGACATCCAGCATGGTTTAACTGGACACCTGTGTCAGTATTGCAAACCAATGGTTTAAAGATACACCTGTGTAAGTATTGCAAACCAATGGTTTAAAGATACACCTGTGTCAGTATTGCCAATCAATGGTTAAACTGGACATCTGTGCAAGTATTGCAAACCAATGGTTTAACTGGACACCTGTGTAAGTATTGAATACCAATGGTTTAACCGGACACCCGTATAAGCATTGAATACCAATGGTTTAACCGGACACCCGTGTAAGCATAGAATACCAATGGTTTAAACGTACACCTGTGTAAGCATTGAATACCAATGGTTTAATCGGACACCTGTGTAAGCATTGAAAACCAATGGTTTAACCGGACACCTGTGTAAGTATTGAAAACCAATGGTTTAACCGGACACCTGTGTAAGTATTGAATACCAATGGTTTAACCGGACACCTGTGTAAGCACGAAAACCAATGGTTTAACCGGACACCTGTGTAAGCACGAAAACTAATGGTTTAACCGGACACCTGTGTAAGCATAGAAAACCAATAGTTTAACCGGACACCTGTGTAAACATAGAAAACCAATGGTTTAACCGGACACCTGTGTAAGTATAGAAAACCAATAGTTTAACCGGACACCTGTGTAAGCATAGAAAACCAATGGTTTAACCGGACACCTGTGTAAGCACGAAATCCAATTGTTTAACCGGACACCTGTTTAAGCACGAAAACCAATGGTTTAACCGGACACCTGTGTAAGCACGAAAACCAATGGTTTAACCGGACACCTCTGTAAGCACGAAAACCAATGGTTTAACCGGACACCTGTGTAAGCATAGAAAACCAATGGTTTAACCGGACACCTGTCCGGGAACCTGTGTGGTGTAATCAAGAGGAACAAACGTTACAATCCAAACACACATGTATCTAAATCAAAGCCCAAGATGTCCCGCCGCTTGGCTGGAGCTGGAGACACATACTCCCACCCTAACTCCATCAGTATGCAGTCTCCTTACATACTCTAGTGATGCATGTTCCCTCCCTATTGTATCTTACCTGATAGTGTTGTTTAAGCCTGTTTGTGTACTAGCTGTGAAGCCATTGAGTCTTCCTGCTCAAATCTTTCCGACTGTCGTCACGCCAGGCCTCCACGTCATAACATCCTGATTCTCTAACCTACTTTCCTTTGATAGAACTAGATGAATAGAAATGCGCATTTATGTGCGATACTTCCAGCTGTACCTGCTTTCAAAGCTCTATTCATAATGGAATTGAATAGTTATTCTCTCTCTGAACACATGCTTGACTCGTTCACGTGCACATCATGTGTGACAAACACGTCAGGACAATGAGTGGTACAAACAAAGCTGTGTTGATACATGAACGTCGCTGCATACAAGCAGCACAGCTTTAGCAGTAGTGTGGACGGGACGAACACCATAGCAGTGCAGGGGTCATTTGGTTGGTTGGCTGTCGTCTCGCAATAAAACAGGTGTGCAGATAATCATATTCTATACGTAGCTACATGTGTATTAGAGCATAAAGATAATGTTATTCTACATATAGCTACATGTGTATCCATCTACGCAGATAATGATATTCTACATATAGCAACATGTGTACCCGAGTATGCAGATAATGATATTCTACATATAGCTACATGTGTACCCGAGTATGCAGATAATGATATTCTACATATAGCAACATGTGTATCCGAGTATGCAGATAATGATATTCTACATATAGCTACATGTGTACCCGAGTATGCAGATAATATATTCTACATATAGCAACATGTGTACCCGAGTATGCAGATAATGATATTCTACATATAGCTACATGTGTACCCGAGTATGCAGATAATGATATTCTACATATAGCTACATGTGTATCCGAGTATGCAGATAATGATATTCTACATATAGCTACATGTGTATCCGAATATGCAGATAATGATATTCTACATATAGCAACATGTGTACCCGAGTATGCAGATAATGATATTCTACATATAGCTACATGTGTACCCGAGTATGCAGATAATGATATACTATACATAGCTACATGTGTATTCGAGTATGCAGATAATGATATTCTACATATAGCTACATGTGTACCCGAGTATGCAGATAATGATATTCTACATATAGCAACATGTGTACCCGAGTATGCAGATAATGATATTCTACATATAGCTACATGTGTATCCGAGTATGCAGATAATGATATTCTATACATAGCTACATGTGTATCCGAGTATGCAGATAATGATATTCTACATATAGCAACATGTGTACCCGAGTATGCAGATAATGATATTCTACATATAGCTACATGTGTACCCGAGTATGCAGATAATGATATTCTACATATAGCTACATGTGTATCCGAGTATGCAGATAATGTTATTCTACATATAGCTACATGTGTATCCGAATATGCAGATAATGATATTCTACATATAGCAACATGTGTACCCGAGTATGCAGATAATGATATTCTACATATAGCTACATGTGTATCCGAGTATGCAGATAATGATATACTATACATAGCTACATGTGTATTCGAGTATGCAGATAATGATATTCTACATATAGCTACATGTGTACCCGAGTATGCAGATAATGATATTCTACATATAGCAACATGTGTACCCGAGTATGCAGATAATGATATTCTACATATAGCTACATGTGTATCCGAGTATGCAGATAATGATATACTATACATAGCTACATGTGTATCCGAGTATGCAGATAATGATATTCTACATATAGCAACATGTGTACCCGAGTATGCAGATAATGATAATTTACATATAGCTACATGTGTACCCGAGTATGCAGATAATGATATTCTACATATAGCTACATGTGTATCCGAGTATGCAGATAATGTTATTCTACATATAGCTACATGTGTATCCGAGTATGCAGATAATGATATACTATACATAGCTACATGTGTATCCGAGTATGCAGATAATGTTATTCTACATATAGCTACATGTGTATCCATCTACGCAGATAATGATATTCTACATATAGCAACATGTGTACCCGAGTATGCAGATAATGATATTCTACATATAGCTACATGTGTACCCGAGTATGCAGATAATGATATTCTACATATAGCAACATGTGTACCCGAGTATGCAGATAATGATATTCTACATATAGCTACATGTGTACCCGAGTATGCAGATAATCATATTCTATACATAGCTACATGTGTATCCGAGTATGCAGATAATGGTATTCTACATATAGCTACATGTGTATCCGAGTATGCAGATAATGATTTACTATACATAGCTACATGTGTATCCGAGTATGCAGATAATGATATTCTACATATAGCTACATGTGTATCCGAGTATGCAGATAATGATATTCTACATATAGCAACATGTGTACCCGAGTATGCAGATAATGATATACTATACATAGCTACATGTGTATCCGAGTATGCAGATAATGATATTCTACATATAGCAACATGTGTACCCGAGTATGCAGATAATGATATACTATACATAGCTACATGTGTACCCGAGTATGCAGATAATGATATTCTACATATAGCAACATGTGTATCCGAGTATGCAGATAATGATATACTATACATAGCTACATGTGTATCCGAGTATGCAGATAATGTTATTCTACATATAGCTACATGTGTATCCGAGTATGCAGATAATGATATTCTACATATAGCTACATGTGTACCCGAGTATGCAGATAATGATATTCTACATATAGCTACATGTGTACCCGAGTATGCAGATAATGATATTCTACATATAGCTACATGTGTATCCGAGTATGCAGATAATGATATACTATACATAGCTACATGTGTACCCGAGTATGCAGATAATGATATTCTACATATAGCTACATGTGTATCAGAGTATGCTGATAATGATATACTATACATAGCTACATGTGTATCCGAGTATGCAGATAATGATATTCTACATATAGCTACATGTGTACCCGAGTATGCAGATAATGATATTCTACATATAGCTACATGTGTATCCGAGTATGCAGATAATGATATACTCTACATAGCTACGTGTGTACCCGAGTATGCAGATAATGATATTCTACATATAGCTACATGTGTATCCGAGTGTGCAGATAATGATATTCTACATATAGCTACATGTGTATCCGAGTATGCAGATAATGATATTCTACATATAGCTACATGTGTATCCGAGTATGCAGATAATGTTATTCTACATATAGCTACATGTGTATCCGAGTATACAGATAATGAAATACTATACATAGCTACATGTGTATCCGAGTATGCAGATAATGATATTATACATATAGCTACATGTGTATCCGAGTATGCAGATAATGATATACTATACATAGCTACATGTGTATCCGAGTATGCAGATAATGATATTCTACATATAGCTACATGTGTACCCGAGTATGCAGATAATGATATTCTATATATAGCTACATGTGTATCCGAGTATGCAGATAATGATATACTATACATAGCTACATGTGTATCCGAATATGCAGATAATGATATTCTACATATGGCTACATGTGTATCCGAGTATGAAGACAATGATATTCTACATATAGCTACATGTGTATCCGAGTATGCAGATAATGATATTCTACATATAGCTACATGTGTATCCGAGTATGCAGATAATGATATTCTACATATAGCTACATGTGTACCCGAGTATTCAGATAATGATATTCTACATATAGCTACATGTGTATCCGAGTATGCAGATAATGATATACTATACATAGCTACATGTGTATCCGAGTATGCAGATAATGATATTCTACATATAGCTACATGCGTATCCGAGTATGCAGATAATGATATACTATACATAGCTACATGTGTACCCGAGTATGCAGATAATGATATACTATAAATAGCTACATGTGTATCCGAGTATGCAGATAATGATATACTATACATAGCTACATGTGTATCCGAGTATGCAGATAATGATATTCTACATATAGCTTCATGTGTATCCGAGTATGCTGATAATGATATACTATACATAGCTACATGTGTACCCGAGTATGCAGATAATGATATACTATACATAGCTACATGTGTATCCGAGTATGCAGATAATGATAATCTACATATAGCTACATGTGTACCCGAGTATGCAGATAATGATATTCTACATATAGCTACATGTGTATCCGAGTATGCAGATAATGATATACTATACATAGCTACATGTGTACCCGAGTATGCAGATAATGATATTCTACATATAGCAACATGTGTATCCGAGTATGCAGATAATGATATACTATATAGCTACATGTGTATCCGAGTATGCAGATAATGATATTCTACATATAGCTACATGTGTATCCGAGTATGCAGATAATGATATTCTACATATAGCAACATGTGTACCCGAGTATGCAGATAATGATATACTATACATAGCTACATGTGTATCCGAGTATGCAGATAATGATATTCTACATATAGCAACATGTGTACCCGAGTATGCAGATAATGATATACTATACATAGCTACATGTGTATCCGAGTATGCAAATAATGATATTCTACATATAGCTACATGTGTATCCGAGTATGCAGATAATGATATTCTACATATAGCTACATGTGTACCCGAGTATGCAGATAATGATATTCTACATATAGCTACATGTGTATCCGAGTATGCAGATAATGATATACTATACATAGCTACATGTGTATCCGAGTATGCAGATAATGATATACTATACATAGCTACATGTGTATCCGAGTATGCAGATAATGATATTCTACATATAGCTACATGTGTACCCGAGTATGCAGATAATGATATTCTACATATAGTTACATGTGTACCCGAGTATGAAGATAATGATATTCTACATATAGCTACATGTGTATCCGAGTATGCAGATAATGATATACTATACATAGCTACATGTGTATCCGAGTATGCAGATAATGATATACTATACATAGCTACATGTGTATCCGAGTATGCAGATAATGTTATTCTACATATAGCTACATGTGTATCCGAGTATGCAGATAATGATATTCTACATATAGCTACATGTGTACCCGAGTATGCAGATAATGATATTCTACATATAGCTACATGTGTACCCGAGTATGCAGATAATGATATTCTACATATAGCAACATGTGTATCCGAGTATGCAGATAATGATATACTATACATAGCTACATGTGTACCCGAGTATGCAGATAATGATATTCTACATATAGCTACATGTGTATCCGAGTATGCTGATAATGATATACTATACATAGCTACATGTGTATCCGAGTATGCAGATAATGATATTCTACATATAGCTACATGTGTACCCGAGTATGCAGATAATGATATTCTACATATAGCTACA